CATCTAAAAAATACCTCAAACACCAATCTTAGGTTTTACAATAGTAATGTTATCTGTAGGAGCAGTTGGGGGAGGTTAGTGATCTTGTGACTTCTAGCGGCATGACTTCTGAGCCATAATTTCTAATCTTGTGGCACATTTGTTGGCTTTACAAACACAGTCTGGTTCCCAAGCAAGGAAGGAGTTTGTTTCGGGGAGAGGCTATTATTATCTTTGTTTTGTTTTGTTTTGTTTTGTTTTTTGAGGACAGAGTCCTACTCTGCCGCCCAGGCTAGAATGCAGTGGTGCCATCGTGGCCCACTGCAGCCTTGACCTCCTGAGTTCGAGCCAGCCTCCTGATTCAGCCTCCCGAGTAGCTAGGACTACAAGTGTGTGCCACCACACCTGGATAAGTTTTTTATTACTAGAGGCAATGTCTTGCTATGTTGCCTGGGCTGCTCTTGAACACCTGGGCTCAAATGATCCTCCCACCCCAGCCTCCCAAAGTACTAGAATTATAGGCATGAGCCATCACACTCAGCCTTTGTTTTAAAGTCTTTGTTTTAAAGTTAAACTATAAACCACATTCCTCCCAAAATTAGGACAGGTTTGGAGATTAAAGGCAAGATGACATCAGGTAGCCTCTCTTTTATTGTTATAATTTTCTTACTGTTACAGTTTCGGTCAAGACCCCGTACTGGCCAAGCACAGTGGCTCACGCCTGTAATCCCAGCACTTTGGGAGGCTGAGATGAGCAGATCACTTGAGGTCAGGAGTTCAAGACCAGCCTGGCCAACATGATGAAACCCTGTCTCTTCTAAAAATACAAAAATTTAGCTGGGCATGGTGGCAGGCGCTGGTAATCCCAGCTACTCGGGTGGCTGAGACAGGAGAATTATTTAAATTCGTGAGGCGGAGGTTGCAGTGAGCCAAGATAATGCCGCTGCACTCCAGCCTGAGTGACAGAGTGAGACTCCAACTCAAAAAAAAAAACAGTACTTATAAATCAAGTAATTAGAGTATCCTAGTTGTTCTAATTTATTAAATATGTGTTCAGTCAGCATTATCCCTGTATGCTATGGCACGTTTAGTTTAACTAAAAGTATAGGCATAGATTATTATTATTATTCAGTTGTGTTTTTCAGTCTTAGGGGAGAATTTGGCCCATTTTGAATATGCTGTTAAATAGGTAATGTGCCTTGCAATACAAAATTGAATATGAATCACATAAAATGAATAAAAACTATAATTAAGGTAAGTAGTGGTAATGTTTTTTGGGTTTTTTTTGCTTCATTTGTTTTATTTTGAGATGGAGTTTTGCTTTTGTCACCCAGGCTAGAGTGCACTGGCACGATCTTGACTCACAGCAGCCTCCACCTCCTGGGTTCAAGCCATTCTCCAGCCAATCTCAGCTTCCCGAGTAGCTGGGATTATAGGTGCCTGCCACCATGCCTGGCTAATTCTTCTATCGTTAGTAGAGAGGAAGTTTCACCACGTTGGCCAGGCTGGTCTCAAGCTCCTGACTTCAGGTGATCCGCCCACCTCAGCCTCCAAAGTGCTCAGATTATAGGCATGAGCCACTGTGCCCAGCTGATAGTGGTAATGTTTTTTAAAGCAAAGTGAATTGTAGGCATTAAAATTAAGTAAGGCCAGGTACAGTGGTGTTCACCTGTAATCCCAACACTTTGGGAGGCCAAGGCAGGCGGATGACTTGACATCAGGAATTCATTAACCAGCCTGGATAATTTGATGAAACCTCATCTTTACTAAATATGTATTAAAAAATTAGCCCGGCATGGTGATACACACCCGTAATCCTAGCTACTCGGGAGGCTGAGGTGGGAGGATCACTTGAATCTTGGAGGAGGAGGTTGCAGTGAGCCAAGATTATGCCACTGCACAGCAGCCTGAGTGACAGAGCAAGACTCTGTCTCAAAAAAAAATTAAGTAATTTTTTAGGGTAAGTATTAGGTACAAGAAATATATACCAAGAATATATATACCAAATAATGTTTGATATTTAATATTGAAAATTACATTGAAAGGTTGACAACAATTTCTTAGCACAGGCGATAAAGCTGAGAACCAAAGGTCTTTTATTTTTCTGTTTGTAACTTTGAAAAATACACGTTTTTTGTTACCTTTTAGAAGTAGAAATGCCTGAATAACTCCCCTGGTTTTTGTTTTGGTTTGTTTTTTTTGGGATTTTTACTATTTTTAAGAGTCACGGTCTTGCTGTGTTGCTCAGGCTAGCTCAAGCAGTTCTTGACCTCAGCCTCAGAAGTAGCTGGAACTGTAGACGTGAGCCACTGTGGCCAGCTACTCCCCTGTTTTAATGGGACATTGGTAATGAGCCACCCTAGTAGTAGCAGCAGCAGCAGCAGCAGTAGTAGTGACCACTCTATTATTATGATTTATTTATTTATTTTTAATTGAGACAGAGTCTTGCTCTGTCACCCAGGCTGAAGTACAATGACGTGATCTCAACTCACTGCAACCTCCACCTCTTGGGTTCAAGCAGTTCTCCTGCCTCAGCCTCCCAAGTAGTTGGGATTACAGGCACCCACCGCCATGCCTAGCTAATTTTTGTATTTTTTAGTAGAAACAGGGTTTCACCATGTTGGCCAGGCTGGTCTCGAACTCCTGACCTCGGTGATCCACTCGTCTCAGCCTTCCAAAGTCCTAGGATTACGGGCATGAGCCACCATACCCGGCCTATTTCTTTCTTTCTTTTTTTTTTTTTTTAATTTGACACCCAGTAAAGACAATTAGAATCCAATCCAAAAGTGTGCAGTATGTGAACCATCTCTGTTAACATTCACCTGAAAGTAAAAACGCTAATAAGTGCCTTGATTGGTGGGGGTTTACATTCTAACAATATTAAGCTGCTCTCCACCAAACTTCTTTTGCCGCCTGCTTTAGGTCCTATAAGCTCAGTGGAATTGAATCATACTCATTTAACTTCCTCAAAACCAACTAAAACAACAAACAACCTTAGTCTTCACTGTTGAGGAAAATTTAACAGAAGTTTATCATGTAAACTTTTGAGCTCCTTAGAGCCTAAGTCCTGGCAATGTGATGATTTAAGGGTTTTTTCAACCAGATAATCAAAAGCTAAGACATTTTTTAAGAAGTTTTCAAAGGTATGCTTTATAGATTTTCTACTTATCTGCTGACTTTAGAATTTAACATCTATATTCGAATACAGTTTTGATATATTCTTGGACTTCTGTCTTCTGCATTTTTGTTCCTACTTATTTGGGTTTTTCTGGGTTTTTTTGTTTGTTTGTTTTTGAGACAGGGTCTCACTCTGTCACCCAGGCTAGAGTAGTGTGATCATGGCTCACTATAGCCTTGACCTCCCCCGCTCAGGTGATCTTCCCACTTCAGCCTCCCGGGTAGCTGGGAATACAAGTACATGCTACCACACCCAGCTATTTGTTTTTTAGTTTTTATAGAGACAGGGTTTCACTATGTTGCCCAGGGTGGTCTCAAACTCCTGGGCTCAAGTGATCCACCTGCCTCAGCCTCCCAAAGTGCTGGCCTTGCAAATGTGAACTACCATACCTGGCCTTGTCCTACTTTGTGACAAAACTTTTTCTGTTGCTAATTACCTGATCTTGACTTATGCGAGACCTGTTTAAGTTGTCACCCAGCATCAATAACACTCTAGAATCCTAGGAGAGATTAACTATTGAGGCTGGAAGGTGTTGGGGGAAAGATCCATGATCTTTTGTATCAGAATAAAAAAACGAAGCATTCCAAGTAATATTGACTCTACTAGGGCAGATTAACACCATCCAAATGGCAAAGAGCAAAATGTTTGAAGTTATATTGTGTTATGGAGGGCATGAGGGGTGTGGCCTACATTGTAGGTAGAAATATAAATTGTTAAGCCTCTTTGTGGAAACAGTTTGGTGATATTAAAATTTATTATGTACATACTGTTTATCCGATTAATTCCGCTTTAGGAAATTATTCTACAAATATTCCTAAAACTATACACAGTGGTTATTTGTTGCAACGTGTTTTTTAATAATATAAAACTGGAAACAATCCAAATGTCTGACCAGTCAGGGCCTGGCTAAATAAAATCTGATACAAAAGTATACCTGGTTAAAAAGAATGAGGAGCATTTGTAAGAACTGATATGGGACATTGTCCCATATCAAAATAAAAAATGTACAAAACAGTCTTTATAATATGCTATCCTTTGTGGGAAAGAGATAGATATAATACTTGTGTATGTATTATATACATACTTGTGTATACTTAATATATACTTTACGTATTTATACATTTTATATATATGTATATTATATATAGTATATATTCTATAATTATGTGTGTGTGTGTGTGTGTGTGTGTGTGTATAAAATACAGGCTCACTCTCTATGTATAATACACATATACCATCTCTGCAAGAATGTGCAAGGAGCTGCTGTTAACAGGGTTTGCTTTTAGAAGGGAGACCTCAGGAGCTAGGAGACTTACTTTTCCCTGTTGTATTTGGTATTATTTACATGTATTTGCTTATTCAAAAAATTATACACACACACACACACACAAAGAAACAACAACAAAATATTATCAACTAAGGAAATGAATAAATCTCAACTAAGGAAATGAAGAGAAAATATTGTTTCATACTGAGTTCTAGAGAATCTAAACCTAAACCTCTGGATCCTAGAATAATTATACCATACCATTATAGGTGTCTAAATGTCTCAGTTAAGGAAAATTTGCAGCCTGATTCAGAGCCCCCACCCTGAATTATCTTTGAATAATGAGCCTTGGAACTGTCTTCTAACGTTCTGGCATCTGATGTAATTTTTGCTTCATACACGTGGCAATTGGAGTAAGTAATTGTTACTTAGAAATACACAGTTATGCATTTATGAAGTATAGTTGTGTTGAAAACGGTCTAAAATGAAAAAACTAAACAATGTTGGTGACTTTTTTTTTAGTCTCCTAGTACATAGTTTTTGATTACCATGCATTCTGATAACACTGTGTTTTAGGCTCGAATGCTCATCACAGAAGAAAACCTGATGACCATTATCATTAAGACTTTTATGGATCATTTGAGACATCGAGATGCCCAGGGCAGATTTCAGTTTGAACGATATACTGCTTTACAAGCCTTCAAATTTAGGAGAGTTCAGAGCCTTATTTTAGATCTCAAGTAAGTTTTTGTTTAATTATTAAACCAGTTGCAACTTGTAGAAAGTCAGTGTTTATGTTCATTGCCACTGTGTGTGCTTTATCTTATTCAGGTATGTGTTAATTAGCAAACCAACTGAATGGTCAGATGAGCTGAGGCAGAAGTTCCTAGAAGGGTTCGATGCCTTTTTGGAATTACTAAAATGTATGCAGGTATGTAAAAAACTGTTACATTTTTCTTTTTCCTTTTTTTTTTTTTTCTCTTTTCTCTTTTTTTAAGAGATGGGGGTCTCACTATGTTGCCCAGGGTGGAGTGCAGTGGCTAGTTGTAGACATAACCATAGTACACTACATGTTTGAACTCCTGGGCTCTAGCAATTTTCCTGCCTCAGCCTCCTAAATTGCTTGTGTCTAGAGGTGCAGGCACAGGCCCGGCTTCTTTGTTGTTGTTGTTCATTGAAATGAACAGCTTTCTGTGTGTGCATCTTTTCATTTTGTGCACATTTCCAAAAGATCAGTTTGGATGGCTGTAATTTGGACCAGGAAGCTCCTCTTTAATTGGAGACTCTTAGAAAGGTATGGAGCAGAGGAGATCCCAGCAAAGATTCTGGCGTCTACTGCTCTTGGGTTTTTTCTGTTACTTTGTTCGATTTTTTTTTTTTTTAAGACAGATAGTCGTTCTGTCGCCCAGGCTGGAGTGCAGTGGCGCAATCTCAGCTCACTGCAAGCTCTGCCTCCAGAGTTCAAGTGATTCTCCTGCCTCAGACTCCCTAGTAGGTGGGGTTGCAGGTATACACCACACATCCAGCTAATTTTTTGTGGCTTTAGTAGATATGGGGTTTCACCAAGTTGTCCAGGCTGGTCTTGAACGCCTGACCTCAAGTGATCCCCACACAACCTCCCAAAGTGCTAGGATTACAGGCATGAGCTACCATACCTGGCCTGTTTTTTTTTTTTTTTTTTAGACACAGTTTTTCACTCTGTCGCCCAGGCTGGAGTGCGGTGGCACAGTCTTGGCTTTGGCTCACTACAAACTCCGCCTCCTGGGTTCGTTCGCCTACCTCAGCTTTCTGAGTAGCTGGGATCTCAGGTACCTGCCACCATTCCCTGCTAATTTTGTATTTTTAGTAGAGACAAGGTTTCACCAAGTTCTCAAGGCTGGTCTCAAACTTCTGACCTCAAGTGATCAAGCCTGCCTCAGCCTCCCAGCGTGCTGGGATTACAGGTGTGAGTCACTACGCCAGCCACTTTTGTATTTCTTTTGGTTTCCACTAATGTTCTTTTTTTAGAGGTTACAAGTTTATTTTTTTTAATATGCTTTCTTGGAAGTATAGTCAAGTTATTTGAGAAACTGTAGTTGTTTTTTATTTTGCTTTTTAATGTTTCCATATTTCTTTTTCTCTCCTTCATGTGATATTTATATAATACAGTGTAGACCTTTTTCCCCTGTTCAATTCTCTTTTTAGGAAACATCCCTATATACAAAACAGAATCTAGAAGTAGAAACCAACAGGTATATTTAACCAGTTATAACTGTAAGAAGATAGGTGACGTCTCTAAAAACCTGAGCAAGTACTGTTATGATTTCTTTAGTAGCCACCTGGCTTTCTTAAGAAAAGGAATGACCAAAGTTGACTTATCTTTATTTTTATTTATTTAAATTTTTTTATTTTTGAGGTAGAGTCTTGCTCTATTACCCAGGCTGGAGTGCAATGGCATGATCTTATCTTACTGCAGCCTCTCTCTGCCTCCCAGGTTCAAGTGATTCTTCTGCCTCAGCTTCCCGAGTAGCTGGGATTATAGGCACATGCCACCATGCCTGGCTAATTTTTGTATTGTTAGCAGAGATAAGGTTTTGCAATGCTGGCCAGGCTGGTCTTGAACTCCTGACCTCAAGTGATCCCCACATCTCAACCTCCCAGAGTGCTGGGATTACAGGCATGGACCACCATACCTCGCCTAACTTACCATTTTTAGGGAACATTCTAATTCCTAGGTTGGGTGGTAGTTCATGGGTGTTTATTATAATACTACTGTGTTTTTCATTTATCTATAAAAACAGTAGCTACTTTGGTCATTTTTGATACTTGAAGTATTCTGTATTCTCTATTATTTAATAAGTTCTGACATAGTAGAATAGTTAGGCTAGTTTCTGAACAGTAATTTTAATTAAAAGCTGTTTATTGTTTTGCCATCTTTCAGGCTCTATGAAAACTTTTAATTGCATATTAGGAAATATTAAAGCTTTAATATATTATAAAATACATTTATAAATTCAATAACCTTTTAAAAACTTGTCACATTTCTTTTACAATTTTTTTCTGTAGACAGCAGAGCTAAAAAGGATGTGAAAGATTATTTCAGTGAAATATTGAAGTATTTTATTGCCTAACACAGATTTAGAAGATACCTCTGAAATAATGCATTTACTGGAATTTTTAAATTTATATTTTAGAGAATATTATATACACACATAATTTTAAACACTATTATTTCTCATAGTACTTGAAGTTTCCTGTTAAAACTTGTACCTTCTATGTTTTTATAATCAATATATATTTCTTCTACATTACTTCTTAGGTTTCCCTATAAAAGAACAACTATAATTTTCATTCATATATAAATTTTTCACTTCCTTTAAGGGAATGGATCCAATTACACGTCAAGTAGGACAGCATATTGAAATGGAACCAGAGTGGGAAGCAGCCTTCACACTGCAAATGAAACTAACACATGTCATTTCGATGATGCAGGACTGGTGTGCTTCAGATGTGAGTCTCTTCTGGGCATGGGGAATAAGAGGAAAATAGAGGAGAGAGGAATAAGCAGAATCCTAAGTAAATTCTGAGGAGATCTGGAGAAAATAGTGGTGATGCTTAAGTTCATTAAACAGCATATTTTCCTTCTCCACCTATAAACTCAATAAAATTTTAAATTCTACAGCCTTAGGAAAAACTTGAAAAATAGAGAAACAAATAATCCAAATTGTCTCTTCCCTAATGTAACTATCTTTGTTGTTGTTGTTTTTTCTTCATAATATATTCTAGACTTTGAGAATATAAAAATAGTAGTTTATAAATTTATTCAAAAATAAAGGTTTATTATTGGTACATTTGTCCTGTCTTAAAATTATTTTGGCCTTCCTTTGGTGATAAAGTCTAGATGAGATCCTGTATACTTTAGGAGGTTAGGGAAAGTTTCCATAAGGTCTGAACAATGTGTAAAAGTTAATGGAACAAAGAGTAAATGATATTCCTGACTGAGAGGAGAGCTGCATTACAGTCTGTGATGTCAGAGACTAGGAAAGTCCTAGGAGCTGTAGAAAGGTCTGTGATTGGAGCACAGAGGTAGAGAACAGAGATTTGGGCACAGGAGTGTAGGGCCTTGGCCATGGAAAGAAGTTTGAATATAATTTTGTTTTCTTTTCTTTTCTTTTCTTTTCTTTTTTGGAAACAGTGCTCTCTTGCCCAGGCTAGAGTACAGTGGTGCAGTCCTGGCTCACTGCAGCCTTGACCTCCCTGGACTCAGGTCATCCTCCCACCTCAGCCTCCCAAGTAGCTGGAACAACAGGCAAACACCATCATACCTAGCTAATTTTTTTATTTTTTGTAGAGACAGTGTTTCACCATGTTGCCCAAGCTGGTCCTGAACTCCTGGGCTCAAGCAATCTGCCTCTGTCAGCCTCCCAAAGTCTTGGAATTATAGGCGTGAGCCACCACACTCAGCCTGCATTTTATTCTAATTGAAGTGGGAAGCCTTTAGAGATTACCATCTCTATTAAATTTCCTGCTTAACTCTTGCCCCGTTTATCCATTCTCCATTCAGCGACATGATTCAATTTACATGTTTTTTAAAATTGCTCTGTATGGAGAATGGATGAAGGGGGCAAGAGTGAGAGAAGGGAATTTAATAGAGAGATGCTTGGCAATGCCTTGGAGTTACTAGAGATGGAGAAAAGTGGCAAGTTTTGAGAGAAACTTAGAAGATGAAGCTGCCAGCTTGATAATAGATTGAACAATGGGGAATGGAGGAAAGGAGGGTATTAGAATACCTTCTAGATTTCCACAGCTATATGGGTAAATGTATCATTCACTGAGACAGGGGACATTGGAAGAGGGACCCAGTTTGGGAGGGAGGACTGAGTTTGGTTTTGCCCATATTGTTATTTGAGCTACTTACTCATCATTGAATTTGAGGTGCTTATTCAATGTTGTAGAAACTCAACCTTTTGAGTAACTTACGGAAAAACCCCTCTTTTTTTAGGAAAAAGTGTTAATTGAAGCTTACAAGAAATGTCTTGCTGTACTGATGCAGTGTCATGGTGGTTATACTGATGGTGAACAGCCAATCACGCTAAGCATTTGTGGACATTCAGTGGAAACTATCAGATACTGTGTTTCCCAAGAGAAAGTTAGCATTCACCTCCCAGTTTCTCGCTTACTTGCAGGTAAAGCATTTTCCCTAAAATAAAACCTTAAAATTGTCTTTTAAATTGTTGTTTGTGGTTAATATCTGTGAATACTTACTTTCTGTCTGTCAGACATTATTCTGTGATTTTTACATCATTGATTTGTCCAGTCATCACATAGTCCGGTGAAGTAGGTATTATTATTAAGCTTGCTTCACAGATGGGAAGACAGGGGCATAGAGGGTGACATGGCTTTAGTAAGTCACACAACAAGAAAGCATAAGTTGGCATTATAAGGAAGTTTGTCCCCAGAGGCCATGTTTATAGCCATTATGCCATAGTGCTTCTTTAGGCTTAACTACAGATACCACGTTTTATCATTTAACTGAATCTAGCTTAAAAGTCTGTGTTGTTGGCAAGTACTAGAGCAAATAAATAAATAAATAATAAATAAAATTCTGTGTTGTTACCATCAAATTAATCTGTCACTTAAGCAATTGCTAATAACTTAAAGCCACCCTAGGTTTTCTATTCTCCTTTTTTTTCTCTAAGCTGTTTTTTTTTTTTTTTTGAGATAGTCTAACTGTGTCACCAGGCGCCAGGCTGGAGTGCAGTGGCGCTATCTCCGCTCACTGCAACCTCCACCTCCTGAGTTCAAGCAATTCTCCTGCCTCAGCCTCCCGAGTAGCTAGAACTACAGGCACACGCCACCACGCTCAGCTAATTTTTTGTATTTTTTAGTAGAGAGGGGGTTTCACCATGTCGGCCTGGATGGTCTTGATCTCTTGACCTTGTGATCCACCCACCTTGGCTTCCCAAAGTGCTAGGATTACAGGCGTGAGCCACCACGCCCAGCCGCTATTTCATATATTTATGGATAGCCTCTTACAAAACAGGTCAAGGACAAGGCCATAATGGAGTGATAATTCTTTTAATTTCAAGTAGTTGATTTATAAGCCACTTGTAATTAATTAGTAGAATATCTGAAGCTGTCATCTTAAAGTGGCCAAAGACTTTGAATATACACTTGATCCATCTCTGCAGACTAATTTCAGTACAGCTTTTGTATTTCTTGATTCTAGGTATTCTTGTCTTGCTCACACCCTGGTGTTTTCTTTAGTTCCATTTTAATTCGGAGAATAGAAATTCTGAAGGTAGATATTTTTACTCATTGTAAAATATGTAGTTCATGTTAAGTTTGTGGATCAGTAGCTTAATGTGATTGAGGGTATGTTTTTTGATTTGTTTTGTCATTTTCTGGAATATATTGTAGAGAATGTGTTTCATTTCTTCCTTAAATATTTGACAGAACTCACCAGTGAAGTCATCTTATCTGATGCTTTAGTTTTTGGAAGGTTATTAATTATTGGCTCTATTTCTTTAATCGATTCAGGCCTGTTTAGGTTATCTACTTCTCCTTGTGTGAGTTTTGATAGTTTATCTTTCAAGGAATTGGTCCATTTCATCTAAGTGAACAAATTTGTGAGCCTAGAGTTGTTAATAATATTCCTTCATTTTCCTTTTAATGTACATGGGGTCAGTAGTAATGATTCCTCTTTCATTCTGAAGGCATCTTTTTCATTGTTCTGATACCCATCTCATCCCACTGATAGACCCTTGCCATGGGTATATTATTGAAGTCACAGTCATTTAATATAATTACTTCCTCTGAGGCTTATAAAGTTGTTATTCTTAGGCATCTGAATATTAAAATGGTGCAATAGACCATTACCTAGAATGAAATCATGATCGTAAGAAGAAATCTCTCTTATTTCTGTAACTTGTTCAGGCCCAGTTTTTTTTTGTAAGTATTTTGAGCAAGTGAACTGTCGATCCTCAACACAGGCAATTTATAGCATGGTGTTTTGGAAAAGTATTGGATAGAAGGCAAGAAAGCGAGGCATGCATGGGGAAGTAGCACACAGGCATGGCTGCACATGCCCTGTGCATTCCCTTAAAAAAAGAGGGGGCAGGCAAGAAAATGAGTAGTGAGTCCTGTCTCCAAATGAGCCACTGATCTCTTCTGCCTTTAAAAATCTAATTTTATGAGAGGAAGCTGATGCTGATAGTTACCTACAGTGAAAAAAGTCAATACTCTAAAAATGTACTAATTTCTGCCTAGGTTTTTACTTCCCTAAAAGCTGTTGCGTGAATGTTTTTGAGTATTCATCTCATTGTATTTGATAAACCTTGGTCTAAGTACTTATAATCTAAGTGGAAAGCTTAGTAAACCTACCCAAAACAGTTCATGGACAGTTGGAAGGAAGTGCTAATGGAGCTTGAGCAGTAAATGTTGAGAATAAGCTATTAGAATGGCATTAGTTATACAAGTTTCCCTAGATGAAGAAAGCCTCAAACCAGGCTTGAGCAAGTAGCCAGCATCTACTGATAAGAATTTAAAGGGTGTCCTCTGTTTAAGTAATAGCACAGACAGAACACATTCAGAATAAACTGAAGGCTGGGTACAGTAGCTCATGCCTGTAATCCCAGCACTTTGGGAGGCCGAGGCAGCAGATCACCTGAGGTCAGGAGTTCGAAACCAGCCTGGTCAACATGGCAAAAACCCATCTCTGCTAAAAATACAAAAATTAGCTGGGCATGGTGGAGTGCACCTGTAGTCCCAGCTACTCTACTTGGGAGGCTAAGGCAGGAGAATCGCTTGAACACGGGAGACAGAGGTTGCTGTCAACCAAGATCCCTTGAGGTGAGAAACTAAAGAGACTTTCATCCTGAACCAGAAGTTCTGGGGAACTTAATTCAAAGGTCAGTATCAGTGCAGACTATGAATTCCAGGGCCAGTTTCTCTGTTCAGTGGCCAGAAGGATCTCTCACTACTATGCTTTAAATGGGAACAAACTCCGTGGCCCAGTGAAATATAACTCTTAAAGTTGGCATAACATGTATATAAATTGTTTTGATAGCTTTTAAAATGTCCTCAGTGTATATTAGTACATACAACTAAGACTAGTTCTAAGTGTGCCTTTGATAAGAGATTCATGAGAAGCATTAAAGAGCTTCTTTTATTAATATAGTTCATTTTATATCTTAATTGGTAATTTGATAGGTTCCCAAAGAGAAAAGAAGTTAAAGTTGAATGAATATGTAGGGTGTTTTTCCCAAATGATTTTTACTCATAGAAATACTGTTTTTTGTTTGTTCTTTCATGCAGGTTTACATGTATTATTAAGCAAAAGTGAAGTGGCATATAAATTCCCAGAACTCCTACCTCTAGTAAGTGGTACTAACATTTAAAAGTGAATACCTATTTATTATGTTCCTTGTATTTGAAATCACTTTGAAACATATTTTTAGTTTGGGTTCTCCAGAGAACAGAACCAGTAAGATACGTGCATGCATGCATCTAAATAGAGAGAGAGGGAGAGAGAGAGAGAGAGATTCGTTTTAAGGAATTAGCTCATAAAATTAATGGGGAATGAAATCTGGCAAGTCTGAAATCTGCCAGGGAGCGGACTGGCAGACTGGAGAGACCCAGGGAAGAGTTGATGTTGCAGTCCAGAGTACAGTGGCTGTCATAAAGGCATAATTCCTTCTTCTGTGGGGGATATCAGTCGTTTCTGAAGGCATTCAACTGAATTGATGAAGCCCACTCATGTTTGGAGAGTAACCTGCTTTATGCAGTCTATGTTTTTGTTTGTTTGTTTGTTTGTTTGTTTGTTTAGACAGAGTTTCACTCTGTCACCCAGGCTGGAATGCAGTGGTGCAATCTCAGCTCACTGCAACCTCCGCCTCCTCGTTCAAGGGATTCTCCTACCTCAACCTGCTGAGAAGTTGGGAATATAGGCACCTGCCACCATGCCCAGTGTTTTTATTTTTAGTAGAGGTTTTTGTATTTTTAGTAGAGACAGGATTTTACCATGTTGTCCAGGCTGGTCTCAAACTCCTAATCTCAGGTGATCCATCTGCCTCAGCCTCCCAAAGTGCTGGGATTATAGGTGTGAGCCACCATGCTCAGCCAGTCTGTGATTTGAATGTCAATCATGTGTAAAAATACCTTCATAGCAACATTAGATTGGTGTTGACCATAAATGGGATACTGTAGCCTTGCTAAGTTGATACATAAAACTAACCACCACACAAACAGATCTTAAAATAATTGAAATAAATAAGGCTGAGTGTGGTGGCTCACACTTGTAATCCCAGTACTTTGGGAGGCCGAGACAGGTGGATCAGCTGAGGTAAGGAGTTCAAGACCAACCTGGCCAACATGGCAAGACCCCCATCTCTACTAAAAATACAAAAATTAGCCAGTCATAGTGGCCCATGCCTGTAATCCCAGCTACTCGGGAGGCTGAGGGAGGAGAATCGCTTGAACCCGGGAGGCCAAGGTTGCGCCGCTACATTCCAGCCTGGGCTACAGAGTGAGACTCTGTCTCAAAAAAAAAATAATAAAATAATTTATATTGTGTTTTATAAAAGCTTTTATCCCTATCAACCAAACTTCTTTATAGCATTGATTGTGTGTGTGTGGTTTTTTTGTTTTCTGTTTTTTTATTTTTTTGTATATATAGAGTGAACTTAGCCCACCCATGTTGATAGAACACCCTCTTAGATGTCTTGTTTTATGTGCCCAAGTACATGCCGGAATGTGGAGAAGAAATGGGTTCTCTCTAGTAAACCAGGTAAGTGTTTTCTAATTCTATGAAGAGTTTTGATTCCATTTTTGTCTTCTGTGAATGTTGTAATTTTCAGTGGACTTAGTAAAAGCTGAGCATCTATATTGTTTGAAAGCATAAATGTAATGATAAAAAATTCTTAGAACTTTTATTCATAATTTGTCAAATAATATCAAAAGTAAAAATGAACAACAGTGGTCATGATTTTTACTTGAAATAATTTTTTAGAACGAAGCTGGATATTAAAAAATAAAATCCAGATTTTATCTATTTAAATTAAATTGAATTAAAAGATAAAAGTCCTTTTTAGTATGCTGTAAAATTGAGGTTTACTTTTTAGACCTCACAGTAGGCTTGGAATAAATTTTTTTTTTTTACGAGATCAGACAAGATCTGGCACATTCGGAGTGGTATGGCCGTAAACAGATTGTTTTTTGCCCTCCTGTTTTTGGTAACTCCTAACCTTCCTGAGACAACAACCTTTTACTTTATTCGGAGACCCAGCAAGTTAGCTGCAAAATATGAACCAGAGCATGATCACTGTAATGTGAAAATCTGTAATTAATTAATCTATACTAAGATAATGTTCATTGTTGGAGAAACCACATCACACAAGTGCACACATTCTTACTTGTCCAAACTTGTGCTTGTGGGGGAAGATTGGGAGAGAGAGCCTTAACCAACAAAAACTATTTACCCAATATAATTACTTATTTTTTTAGATTTATTACTACCATAATGTGAAATGCAGACGTGAGATGTTTGACAAGGATATAGTAATGCTTCAGGTAATGAATTAAAAGCCTTGAACTTAAAGGTTGTGGGGAGTCTTTTGCTTCTTGTTGTTATTTCCATAGAATCCAGTCAGTTGTGATCACTCCCAAATCTATAACTCCAGCCTAGCCCTGTCTCCCAAGCTCCAAATTCATATGGCTAACAGCCTTTAGATCATCTCGATCTATATTCCCTAGACATACTTAAGATTAAGCGTGTTCAGAATAACTCCTCATATTTCCTCCATACCTTCTTCCTGTCTTCAGTTCCCTACCTCAGTGAATTGTTCCATAGTTCACCTAGTTGCTAAGGCCATACACCTTTGTTGTCCTCTGGTTCTTTAACTAATTTTGAACCTCTTACTTTAGACCCCTTAAACTAATTTTCAAGACTTCAATACTTAACTACATTGAAGTTCCCAGCACTTGCCATATTCTGATAAATCTTAAACTCTGCATTTTATTTCTTTTGCTCCCTAAGTTTTCCACCCCTTCCTTTTCCATTTACCTAGCTAACTTATTTTCCTGCTTGTCTTTGTGTTTACTTTAGCATCACTTCCTCTGGGAATCCTTCTCTGACACTCTAAAACTTGGCTACATATCCCTTTTGTGAGCCCCCTAGCATGGTATTTAGCCCTGACAAGCACTCACAACCCTGGATTGTGATGACTATTTACTCTTCAGCATCCCACCTGCACCCCACCAAACCATAGCAGTATATCTTGTTTCTTTTTCTATCCTTTTTGCTTTGCATAGTGCTTGTCACATAGTAGTAGTTCTCTGTTACTACTGAATGGATTTAGTCATTACAGAAATATAAAGTCAAGAAATGTATATTTCAGCCGGGCGCGGTGGCTCACGCCTGTAATCCCAGCACTTTGGGAGGCCGAGGCGGGTGGATCACGAAGTCAAGAGATCGAGACCATCCTGGTCAACATGGTGAAACTCCGTCTCTACTAAAAATACAAAAAATCAGCTGGGCCTGGTGGCGCGTGCCTGTAATCCCAGCTACTCAGGAGGCTGAGGCAGGAGAATTGCCTGAACCCAGGAGGTGGAGGTTGCAGTGAACCGAGATCGTGCCTTTGCACTCCAGCCTGGGTAACAAGAGCAAAACTCCGTCTCAAAGAAAAAAAAAAAAAGAAATGTATATTTCAAAAAATTATTAATTCAAAACAAATTAAAATCTAGGTTGATTTATAATTTATACAAATGGAATTAAAAGAGAACTGAAACTAATATTTCAAAGCTGTCAGTCACTTCAGTTAGTGTAATGCTTACCAGAAAAAAATAGGTTGAGAGATTCTGATAATAGTTTAATATGATCTATATTTTTAAAATACGAGAAGGTTAATTAACATACCACATTTCCCTGAGTCCAGACAGTGATCAGAGAACCCCAGAATAAAATTTTGGAACTGAATTCACAGGAATACAATTAATTCAAGGCACCAGAAGGAAAGAGAACTCATAGCCCATGTTACTCTGCTGTGTGGGCTTAGGTTTGGGGCTTTTTTGTTTGTTTGTTTGTGTTTTGTTTTACCAATTTAGATTCCTTTCCACACTTGTCAGCTACCCCAAGTAGGGATTGAGGCTAAATGGGTTTTCATCTTTTGTTGGGATTGATGAACCTTTTAGGATTGGTAAACTGCTTTCCCTGGTGCAAGCCAAACTATCTCTCACTGATGTTTAGTGGCCCTTTTGACCTTCCTCTTTTCCTTTATCTCAAACATAAAAAAAAAAAAAAAAAAAAAAAAGACAGGTGTCTCCATGATGGATCCAAATCATTTCCTGATGATCATGCTCAGCCGCTTTGAACTTTATCAGATTTTCAGTACTCCAGACTATGGCAAAAGATTTAGTTCTGAGATTACCCATAAGGTAAGACCATGTTTTAAGAAACTACAACACATTGCTAATGAAGCATCTTTTCTTCTTTTTGAATATGTTAATCCTCTGAGATTAAACGATATGCCTATTCTTATCTCTGAACTTTATCTTCCCTCACTTGTTATAGGATGTTGTTCAGCAGAACAATACTCTAATAGAAGAGATGCTATACCTCATTATAATGCTTGTTGGTAAGTTTAAATGGTTGGAAGCATTTATTACGTTGAAGTTTGTAGTAGCACATAGTTTGGAATTTCTGACCTGTGTTTCATGTGTTTTGAGAGGATACTCAGGGGAAGCGAATTGGAATATTCCTCTTTTTCTCCCCTCTGGTTACTGTAACATTGAGAGTAACAGCACTGTAGTGTTTTGGAAGAAGGAGAAAATACAGCTACTGAAACAGAATAAACTGGAAGACTCTATGTTTTGCAGGGTATTGGTGGGGTGGGGACAGGAGAATTTAGCAAGCAAACAATAGGTTATTTAAGATCTATTTACTCTTACTTTATATCTTAACTATGTTTTTCTCCGTGGGTTTGTGGTACAAAAGTATCTTCTTCTTGACTTCAGATACAATAATTCCAAGCTAATGGAGACCTATGGCTAATAGATGTGAATTTATCTCCTTATTATCTATATTTTCTGTCATTACTATGTTTTAGACCCTCTATAGTCCATAGAGCAGAGAATCCTGGCTACTGTCAGGAGATGATACCAATGAAGGTCTCCAAAGTTAATATTTTATTTGCCGCTAGGTAGAAGGGGAAAGGAAGGTTCTCCTTGCTTGCTTCCCCAAGGAGAATAGGGTAAATGCAGTCTCCTTGACTACATTTAAACCCTTCCCACACTTGTGATCCCATTCTTTTGAAACCGCAGGAGAGCTCTCTCCACTGCCTAAAGCCTGCACTCACATGTTGGGTCTAAGACGCCGAAGTATGGTCAGGAGCTGCTCTCTCCCTGGCTTGTTGCCGGAACAGTCCTTGCTTTCTCATTGTTCAGAGAGACTTAGAGAAATATAACATGCTACGTGAATTATAAGTATATATTACAAGAGTATTGTGATTATGTTAAATGTGTGATGTATACTTTCTCATTTTTGACAGGAGAGAGATTTAGTCCTGGAGTTGGACAGGTAAACGCTACAGATGAAATCAAGCGAGAGATTATCCATCAGTTGAGTATCAAGCCTATGGCTCATAGTGAGTTGGTAAAGTCTTTACCAGAAGATGTAAGTACCTACATTTCTAAAAAGAAAATTGTAGAAATTTTCCCTGCCTATCAGTCTAGTATGTATAGATTTATTTCTATATACCTTTCTTACAATTGTAAAATCTATCATTATGGGATGTATATAATTCCAGCCACTCTTATTATAAATAATTAGAAAAAGAGAATAGGAGTAGAAAACAGAATAGTAATAGAATCTGTTCCAGTAAAGCCTTGAAGAACATAAGGGCACTAAAAAAAGTTAAACTCAAACCTTAGAACTAATGTCTGTACCCCACAGAAAGAGGTCATTAAAGGGTCGTTAGTGCAAAATTGCCATGAGTATGGATAATGCTTTATAACCTAGTATATTGAGGAAGGGAGTCAGAAGTACCTACTCACATATGTTGAGTAGAATAAATAATGTTTTCCACAGCTTTTTCCTTCTTGGCCTCCAGAGACTCACTGCAACCTCCCCCTCCGGGGTTCAAGCGATTCTCCTGCCTCAGCCTCCTAAGTAGTTGGGATTACAGGCATCTGCAACCACGCCCAGCTAATTTTTATATTTTTAGTAGATACGGGGTTTCACCATATTGGCCAGGCTAGTCTCGAACTCCTGACCCCAGGTGATCCACCCGCCTCAGCCTCCCAAAGTACTGGGATTACAGGCATGAACCACCACACCCAGCTGAGACTCTTAATGAGGAGCCCTTGTTTTATTTTAGTGAATGTAAAATAATAGTGACAAGGACATTCATAGGTTAAATTGCAACTGTTTTTCCTTCCAGGGGTCATAAGTTTCTCACCAACATATTTTTCAGCCATGGGACTTTTCAGATATTCAACCCCTATAATTGGAAAGGGACTTTATTTTCATTGAGGCTTTTCAAAATGTTTACCTTAATTTGAAACATAGATTGAAACTTTCAACCTTAATTAACATTTATTTTTCTGGGATTTCAACCTGTCTTATCTTCGTTGCATAGTAATACTTTTAAACTTTGTATTATAAATATTTTAAACATTTATAGAGAGAAAAAATGTGTAACAAACCCATCACCACCTTCAATGGATGGCCAGTCTTGTTTCATCTATACCCCAACCACTGACCTCTGTGCCCTACTGTATTATTTCCTAGAGAATACTGTATTTACTATTTCATCTATAAATAGGACTATATGTATCTAAAACACTGATTCTCAACTGGGGACAGTTTTGTCCCCCAGGGGACATCTGGGAATGTCACTACTCCGGCCAGGGTGTGGGATACTAATCGTATCTAGTGGGTAGAGGCCGGGGATATTGCTAAACATCCTGCAATACCAAGGACAACCCCCCACAACAAAAAATTATCTCATCTGAATGTCAATAGTGCTGAGGTTGAAAAACTCTGATCTAAAAAATGAGGACTGAAAAAAAAAAAAACCTATCTTTATATTATCACACTTTTATAAACAGCAATAATTTATATATATATATTACAGAAACTTTTATATATATATATATATCTGTATTTTATATCTATAACAGATATTTTGTATGTAATATATACTTTATATAGACATTTTATGTAGATATATATATATCTATATAAATACATGTATTATATATATTTGTTGTTGTTGTTGTCGTTGAGACAGAGTCTGGCTCTATCGCCCAGGCTGTAGTGCAATGGCACATTCCTGGCTTACTGCAGCCTCCGCCTCCCGGGTTCAAGCAATTCTCATGACTCAGCCTCCCAAGTGGCTGGGATTACAGGCACACACCACCACACCCAGCTAATTTTTATATTTTTAATAGAGACAGGCTGTCGCCATGTTGTCCAGTCTGGTCTCGAACTCCTGGTCTCAAGTGATCCACACACCTCAGCCTCCCAAAGTGCTGGGATTACAGGGATGAGCCACCACGCCTTGCCAAATAATAATTTCTTAATGTCACTAAATATCTAGTCAAGATAAAAATTACTTGTACTTCCTTAATGCAGGAAATGAATCCCAAGTTGTTCATTTAGGAATCAGTTATAATTTAGCCTAAACTTTAAGGAACAATAAAATTTCAAAAAGCATTTTTAAAGTGGTTTAAACCTTATATAAAGTGATTTTAACTGTATATCCCAAACATTTTAAAGAATTATTTATTCACAGAATTCCTATTAATATCTTGTCATGAGTGAGATGTGATTTGGGAAGTGCTGTTGTACTGAAAATACAGACAAGAAATTAGTGCAACTATTTTGTAAAATACCGAAAGTATTTTACATAAATTTTTTTAATGTTTTGTATACTTTATTTTTCATTTAATTGCTTTTAGAAAACTCTTACCTTGATTCCATATGGTAGTGACTTTTTAAAAATCATAAGGTTTTATCTATTTTATGTATTTAAAAATAATATATCAATTTAAATGGACATCAGCTTACCAAGTAAGTGTGTCTAGTTTTGTATTAATCATTATATTTGCTATGGAATCCTCATCTGTAAAAATGGAGATAAGGTGTATCTACCTCAGGTTATTATGAGGGCCAGTGGGATAAAACACAATGCTGAGTGCTAGCAGTTATTATTAACATGAAACACACTTGTGTCCTGTACCTTTAGGAGAACAAGGAGACTGGCATGGAGAGTGTAATCGAAGCAGTTGCCCATTTCAAGTGAGTTTACTTCCTATTATTTCACATTCTTTTTTTATTTTTCCAGTACATTCATTTTTCTTAGAGTATTTTCTTTGATGGAACGGAGAATGAAGTTGCATCTTTCAGAGTGACAGACATTTTCAAATTATAGCTGTGAATGAGATTGCTCACTGACATTTCACTTTTCTGATCTCGCCCTATACTCAGCAACATAAAGTAACATTGTGAGGGTTTTCATCACATTCAGAATAGGTGTTCATAGCTGATGGTTTCAAATAGTGAAAATTAACCTCAGCAGTGATCTAAGTAAATGCACTGTAATTTCTTAAAACTGCTTTCTTTTATTTCCTTTTGAACGTGCCGCCTAAATTGTGGGAAAACATTCCTAAACAGTCTTTCCCAATCAGTAAACTGGTTTATACCCTTAAAGTTGTTGAGGCAGTTTCTTGAGCCTGTTTTTTCCTTGCTTCCTATCCCAATGACAATGTCTTCATTTTTTTTTATTCCACTATAAATTTTTGAAGATAGACAGTGTCTTTATTTTTTGTTGCTTATAAAGACAATACTTGCTTTCAGAAAAAAAAATTACCTGTAATCCAACCACTCAAATGATTTCTATTATTTTTAGATATATATCTTTCTACGTTTTTTTTCTACACTTGGAACACGTATTTATAACAAAAAATTGGTTCATTTTATATTTACTATTCTATAATCTTTTTTAAAATTAAACTTTAATGGGATGTTTCCATATGTTTGTGTCTTTGGGGGGGTTTTGTTTTTTCTGGGCTTTCTTGCTTTTTACACAATATATTTTGTCAGTACATATAGGCATACTTCATCCTTTTTCACTTGAGTCTTACTTTGTCACCCAGGCTGGAGTGCAGTGGCATGATCTTGGCTCACTGCACCCTCCACCTCCTGGGTTCAAGCAATTCTCTTGTCTCAGCCTCCCAAGTAGCTGGAACTGCAGGCACCCACCACCATACCTGGCTAATTTTTTTATTTTTAGTATAGATGAGGTTTTGCCATGTTGGCCAGACTGGTCTCGAACTCATTGACCTCAAGTGATCCAGCCTACTTCAACCTCCCAAAGTGCTAGTATTATAGGCGTGAGCTTTTTCACTTTTTTGTAGTCATGCACTATAATGTATCTAACCTCTTCCCGATTAGTGTAATACATAATTTCCAGATTTTCTCTTATAAACAAATATTGAACATCCTTGTACGTATAGCATTAACAAGTGTGTCTTTGACTGTGAAAGTGTTTTTTGAGAATTAGCCAGATCAAAGTGAAAGTTTGTATTACATTTTGATACATACCTCCTAAGTGCATTCCCAAAAAAAGTCAGCAGTTTACACTCCGACTAGCAGTGTATGAAGGCAACTTTGTCAACACGTTAATATGAGCAGTCTTTTAATTTCTGCACAGTAGTTGGGTGAAAACAGTACCTTATTTTAATTTGCATTACTCTAACAGTGAAGTTGAGCATCTATTTATGTGCTAATTGGCCGTTAATGTTTTTTCATACTTTAATCCATTTTTCTTTATGGTTGTTTGTCCCTATCTTATTGTTTCATAAGTATTTTTATATACTAGAAATATCAATTCTTATTTAATACATCACAAGTACTTTTTTCCAATATGTCCCTTGTTTTTAATTTGGTGTCATTTCTGTTTTTAAAACTAATTTGGCTTCTAGATTTTATTACTTGCTTAGGAAAATTCTCTAAACCCCAGTAGTGTACCTGCTTTTTTCCACTTAATAAAACTTAACATAGATGTCTTTACATGTGAAAATAGAGAAATTATCATCACTGTTAATTGTGTTCAATTGTTTAGAGATGTTGTAACTTACTACTTATTTCCTGTTCAGCTTTTTAATTGTTGCCACTGCAGTGCCCATCACGTTCACTTGTCCAGTTAGGATAAATTCAAAGTGGGTATGCTAAATAAAATGGATGCATGTAGAATTTGGATTTAGATTGCCAAATCAACCCACTGAAAATAGTTGTAACTTAACACCCACCAGCAGTATATGAGAGCTCTGCTTTCTTGTTCCAATATCCAAGACTCTCATAAATTGGTGCATGGCTTTAGTAATAATATTCTAAGGTCCTTTCTTTCATAGGAAACCTGGATTAACAGGACGAGGCATGTATGAACTGAAACCAGAATGTGCCAAAGAGTTCAACTTGTATTTCTATCACTTTTCAAGGGCAGAACAGTCCAAGGTAATTGGGAAAATTAAAAATGTAGCAGGGAAGGGTTGAATTGTTTTTAAGAGATGGGATTTCACCATGTTGCCCAGGCGAGAGTTTAGTGGCTGTTCACAGGCCCATTATAGAGCATTGTGACCTCAAACTCCTGGGCTCAAGCAATCTTCCATGTCAGCCTCTTGAGTAGATGGGATTACAGGCATACACCATTGTATCTGGCTTGGATTTTTTTTTCCTAAACAACTTTTTACTGCTTTTACAAATTGAAATAGGATACATTTTCATTGTAGGAAATTTGGAAAATATAAAATATAAAGAAGAAAGTAGAAATTACTTAAAATACCATCACCTAACATTTTGGAGTTTCCCCCTAGCATTTTGTGCATACACTTATAAAATCTGTATAATACATACCTATGTATATATATGGGTGTCGTTTTTGACAACAAATTTTCAACCTGCATTATAATCAGTTAATCCATTTTACACACATTTCAGAATTGGTACTATTTAGCATGCTTTTTCATAGAGATACATGCAGTTTTTCTAATCATTCCTAGGTAATTAAATTTTGCCTTTTTAGCAGAGCATGATGACTCATGCCGGTAATCTCAGCACTTCGGGAGGCTGAGGCGGGCAGATCGCTTGAGCTCAGGAGTTTGAGATCAGCCTGGGCAACCTGGTGAAACCCCACGTCTACTAAATATACAAAAATTAGCCAGGTGTCGTGTTGTGCAACTGTCGTCTAGCTACTCAGGAGGCTGAGATAGGAGGATCACTTGGGCCCAGGAGGTCAAGGCTGCAGTAAGCTGTGATTGCACTCCAGCTTGGGCGATGAGAGTAAGACCCTATCTCAAAAAAACATTGCCTTTTAGCAGTCTTCTCTTAAAATGCTTTTTCAATAAACAGCATTAAAACTTAAAGTTTTTATTTAGTTTTTGATGAAGTCACAGAGTTCAAACCTAAATAAGCTTTCTTGGTTTGGGGTTGTACATGTTTCCCTTCCAATTTAAAGTAATAGATAACTCATTTAGAGATTCTTTTAGTTGAAAAAAATTTAGCCTTGATGTGTCAATTTAGGGGAGGACTAGAACATTAAGGATAAATTTTTTTTTTCTTTTTTGTGAGACAGGGTCTCACTCTATTACCCAAGCTGGAGGGCAGACATGATCTCTGCTCACTGCAGCCTCTGCCTCCCAGATTCAAGCAATTATACTGCTCGTCCTCCCAAGTAGCTGGGATTACATGTGTGTGTCACCACACCACGACTGGCCTGTGTTGTATTATTTTCTGATTTTAGATTTTCATCCTTGGCCAGACATGGTGGCTCACACCTATAATCTCAGCACCCTGGGAGGCTGAGACAGGTGGATCATCTGAGGTCAAGAGTTCAAGACCAGCCTGGCCAACATGGCGAAACCCCACCTCTACTGAAAATGCAAAAATTAGTTGGGCGTGGTGGGTGGGTGCCTGTAAATCCCAGCTTCTTGGGAGGCTGAGGCAGGGAGAATTGCTTTAACCGGGAGCTGGAGGTTGCAGTGAGTTGAGATCATGCCACTGCACTCCAGCCTGGGTGACAGAGCGAGGCTCCATCTCAAAAAAAAAAAAAAAAAAAAAAAAAAGGCCAGGCGCAGTGACTCACACCTGTAATCCCAACATTTTGGGAGGCCAAGGCAGATCACAAGGTCAGGAGTTCAAAACCAGCCTGGCCAACATAGTGAAAACCCCATCTCTACTAAAAATACAAAAATTAGCCAGGCATGGTGGTGGGTGCCTTATAGTCCAGCTACTTGGGAGGCTGAGGCAGGAGAATCGCTTGAACCCAGGGGTCAGAGGCTGCAGTTAGCTGAGATTGCACCACTGCACTCTAGCCTGGGCAACACAGCAAGACTGTCTCAAAAAAAAAAAAAAAGAAAGAAAGAAAGAAAATATGTTATCAAAGATTGGCCAGAAAAGATTTAAAAAAAAAAAAAAAAGAGAAAATAATACAACAAAGATGAACTTATGTCACTAGTTTTAGATATGTTTTGTATTACTAATTCCCGGTCCAAATAACTTTATTTTTATTAGGCAGAAGAAGCTCAACGGAAATTGAAAAGACAAAATAGGGAAGATACAGGTATTTTTAATCTTTCCAAAAATTTCCTGCCCATCTTTTTTACTGGTTAAACATTGTTTTCCATTAACTATGATGATTGTCCTTGGTGGAATGAAAGATTTGAATAAAAGCTTTCCTAGTGAACAACCTCCTATTCAAAGGAATAATAAATATGTTAACACAGAAATAGTGTGTACTAAGTCTCCTCTGGGTTGATTTTTATCTCAGATCTTAAGAACTTTCTAGGGTAAAAGACTTTTGTACTGCTGCTACTTATGTGGCTCTTTTTATGCATTTGACCTTGAGAAGGTAAAATAATAGCTTTAAGGTGTGTGTTAATGAGTATTCGTTAGTTAAAACTATCAGAAGTAACGAAGAGATGGTTTTTAAAGCATGTTCCATAAAAGAAACCAATAATAACAACTGTATTTTCAGCTCTTCCACCTCCAGTTTTGCCTCCATTCTGCCCTCTGTTTGCAAGCCTGGTTAACATTTTGCAGTCAGATGTCATGTTATGCATCATGGGAACAATTCTGCAATGGGCTGTGGAACATAATGGATATGCCTGGTCAGAGTCCATGCTGCAAAGGGTAGGTTTGGAGACATTTGTTATTTATATTTTAGTATTTTATAGTACAAGCAAAATACTCTTGTCTGTATCCATACACAGGAAAACTAGGCCAAAATGTATCGTGTTTTCCTAACTTGAATATATTGTTACAGCTTTTGTATCTGACAGTGAAAACAAGTGCCAGACAGATTTTTTTTTTACCACATGGTTGTTATTACCTCAGTCCCATTGGGCTATCTTTCTCTTCTTGCTTAGTCCTGGCCTGCATATATGTAGTACTCTGATATTGATATAATGTGTAATCTTTTATATATGTTTCTAATCTAATTATTTTCCAAAACGAAATTTTTTTTTTTGAATCATCCATATTCTTATTTTGTAGTTGAAGAAACTGACAGAGACTTATGATTCTATAGCTAGTTAAGTGGCAAGTTTGGAACCTTGTTTGTGTTGTTTTTGTTGTTGTTTGTGGTTTTTTGAGACAGATCTGGCTTGGTCACCCAAGAAGCTGGAGTGCAGCAGTGCAATCTTGGCTAACTGCAACCTCTGCCTGGCTCACTGCAACCTCTGGGTTCAAGTGATCCCTCCACCTCAGTATCCCAAGTAGCTGGGATTGCAGGCATGCATCACAACACCTGGCTAATTTTTGTATTTTTGATAGAGACAAGGTTTTGCCATGTTGCCCAGGCTGGTCTCGAACTCCTGGACTCAAGCAGTCCTCCCCCCTCAGCCTCCCAAAGTATTGGGATTCCATTCATAAGCCACCATGCCTGGGCCCTTGTTTGTATTTTACTTTAATGTAAGTCATTCTTACATTATCTCATTGGTTTCAAACAACATTCCTGTGAGTAGGTACAACGTTTTTCCCATTGTTAGATGAGGAAGCCAAGTTTCAGTGATGTTCCATTAACTTCCCATATTACCCAAATGCTAAGTGATATAATAATTATTCATTAAACAGAATACCTATGCTATGCCTTATTCCATGCTAAGCACTTTTTTTTTTTTTTTTTTTTTTTTGGTTGTTTGTCACCCAGGCTGGAGTGCAATGGTGTGATCTCAGTTCACTGTGACTTCTGCCTCCCAGGTTAAAGCAATTCTCCTGCCTCAGCCTCCCGAGTAGCTAGGATTATCAGTGCCCACCAACACGCCCGGCTGATTTATTATATTTTTAGTAAAGACAGGGTTTCACTATGTTGGCCAGGCTAGTCTCGAACTTCTGACGTCAGATAGTCCACTCGCCTTAGCCTCCCAAAGTGCTGGGATTACGGGGATGAGCAACTGTGCCTGGCCATGTTAAGCACTTGTGTACAGTGTTTGTAATCCTCGGAACTATAGAAGGAAGCTGTTTTTTCCAATGTTAAAGATGATGACATCAGCTCAGAGGCCTTCCCCAAGGGAATATATTAATAGCTTGAAGGCAGTAAAACCAGAATTCAGATTCAAATTTTGGAGCCTTCCTCCACAGCTATCATTCTTTCTTTTTGTCTCACTGGCTAAGATGTATGTATTCTCATAATGCCCTTAGATTTATCTGTGAGCATATTTAAAGTGTAAAAGCATGGAGCTGTGGTATACTAGCTCATTACCAGTACAACTGTACTAGCTGTCATGTACTGTCAGCATTATGTGAACAAAGATTTGTGGGAAATAATGGAGGGAAAAGGTGTGAACAGTATTTACCTTACATGTACATTTGCATTATGTCACCTAGTTCTTCCAAGTCTTTGACAACCAGGGGAAAGATACAGAGACACCACACACACCTCTCCTTCAAAAACTGGGATATAGGCCGGGCTCAATGGCCCACCCCTGTAATCCTAGCACTTTGGGAGGCCGAGGTAGGTGCATCACTTGAGGTCAGGAGTTCAAGACCAGCCTGTACAACAGGGTGAAACCCTGTCTCCACTGAAAATACAAAAATTAGCCGGGCGTCGCAGCACATGCTTGTAATCCCAGCTACTTGGGAGGCTCAGGCAGGAGAATCACTTGAAACCTGGAAGGCGGTGGTTGCAGTGAGCTGATATCATGTCATGGGCAACAGGGGAAGACTCCATCTCAAAAAACAAAAAAACTGGGGCATGGGATAAAAGCAGTAAAAAAACCAGATAGATTGATACACTCTCTTAGAAGCCTGGTAAGGAATCTTTTGTGAGATACATTGAAGAACTATGAAGTTTATAAATGATATGGCAGTAGAGATAAAAGTATGTCTTTCTCAGATGATGAAGATTTAGTCCTTAGAGAAATTAAATTAGGTAGTGTCATAGACTGGATAATTACATGGTAGATACTTTTAGCTTTATAATAATTTGACCACTGATTCTTGGAAGGTTTTTTTAAGTCTGTAGTATAGGTATAGAATAAAACTGAAAATTATCTATTATATGAATTGCTGGTCATAGCTAGTGGTAATTTTAGCTCACCCTAAGAATTTGCGATTGAAATTTCTTTCTCATTGAAGTAGAAAATTTTGTTTTCCTTGCCAATAATTCTTTATTAGAAAATGAACCTCATTCTTTTCATTTAATAAAAATTAGTACTTCAAGGCCGGGCATCGTGGCTCATGCCTGTAATCCCAGCACTTGGGGAGGCTGAGGTAGGTGGATCACTTGAGGTCAGGCATTCGAGACCAGCCTGGTCAATATGATGAAATCCCATCTCTACTAAAAGTACAAAAATTAGCTGGGTGTGGTGGCACACGCTTGTAGACCCAGTTACTTGGGAGGCTGAGGCAGGAGAATCGCTTGAACCCGGGAGGCAGAGGTTGTAGTGAGCTGAGATGGCACCACTGCCCTCCAACCTGGGCGACAGGGCAAGACTCTGTCTCAAAAAAAAGAAAAAAAGAAAAAAAAATTAGTACTTCAGATTGTTTTTAATTACATTTAATGTTTAATAGTTTGTCTTTTTCAATAATTCTTTTTTGCTATTTCTTATAAAAATATGTGCTTGATTTTTTAAAAATTATTGCTAAAAGTTAAAAAACATTTTATTCAAGGTATTGCATTTAATCGGAATGGCACTACAAGAAGAAAAACAACATTTAGAGAATGTCACGGAAGAGCATGTAGTAACATTTGCCTTCACTCAGAAGATATCAAGTATGTACATATGCTTTTTACTAAACTAACTCAAACTGCCACTTAATAACCTCTTATTTAATCATATAGATTCTAAAAGGGTAATATTTAATCCAAACATATGAGGCTATATGTACTCATCTGTGTAGTAAACGTCCTGTATTAAACCCTGATGTATTTTTATAAAAATACCTAGGGCTAAATTCAAAATTAGAGTCAGCGTGGTTGATGTAAGATTTTACAGTATTAAAAGAAAAATTATAGGAGATTAGATTGTCATTTCATATAAAGAAATGTGACTTTTGAACAGAAGGCCAGGGAGTTTTTCTAGCTTTTTATTTTAGAAATTTCAAACGTATAGACAAGTCAAAAGAATTGTGCAGTAAACATCCATATACCTACTACCTAGATTCAATAGTTTGCTATATTTGCTTTTATATTTACATACTTTCTTGAACCATTTGTTATAGGCATAATATTTCACATCTCAAAGACAAACTTTTTATTTATTAATTTTCAGAATCAGCCATTGGTCTGATAGTTCCCTGCAATTGTGGCAACTTTGAATGTTTTTTGTTCAGAGTTTTTAAAAATAGTATTCATGGATTTTTATTCAATGTTTCATAGTCACTTATAATTATTGCTTTTGATTCTCAAATTATGGCCATTTTGGTCAGTGGGAGTTTATTTAGTCAGCTTCTGTCTCTGTTTCACTCAGCCCCATTAGTGTTTGAATACCACCTCACTTTCTGGCCCAAAAGATGCCCAAGCTCATCTTGTACTTTCCCTGCCTCAGACCTGTAGTCAGCCATTCACTGAGGTGTTTTTAAATGAATTTATGGTGCTATGATGATAGGAGTTGATAAATGCTTTGATTGAAAAGGATTATTTCTGTAACTGTGTTCAGTGCCATTTCTTCCTAAACGATAACTGTGAGAGTTGCGTTGCCAGGGGACAGGGAGGAAGTAATTCTGTCTGCTGCTGCATCTCTAGTTTTCCTTTTTGCCCTCATCCAAATAAATGAGAGAAAGAGGAGGAGCCACCTTTCCCCACTGAAGACTATTCTTGGATGCCAGTTTTTACCTATTCTTTTTCTCTACCATATTGTTTTTATGGATTAATACAGTGTTTTTTGCTTTCTTTGTTTCTCATGCGTTTATTTTAGAATAACCACACAAAATATTCCCTAATTTCTTTTCTTGTCTTTTTTTTCAAGTAAGAATAATGTTAAGGGAAAATTATGATTATTTAATAAAAAGGAAAGAGAAAGTAAGAGAGAACCTAATATCTTTTTTTTTTTTTGAGACAGAGTATCACTCCGCTGCTCAGGCTGGAGTGCAGTGGTGAGATCTCAGCTCACTGCAACCTCCACCTCCTGGGTTCAAGTGATCCTCCTGCTTCAGCCTCCTTCTGTTGCCCAGGCTAGAGTGCAATGGCACAATCTCGGCTCACTGCAACTTCTGCCTACCGGGTTCAAGCGATTCTTATACCTCAGCCTCTTGAGTAGCTGGGATTACAGGCACGAGCCACCACACCCAGCTAATTTTTGTATTTTTAATAGAATCAGGGTTTCACCATGTTGGTCAGGCTGGTCTCGAACTCCTGACCTCATGAGCCTCCCTTCTCGGCCTCCCAAAGTGTTGGAATTACAGGCATGAACCACCATGCCCAGCTGATACTTCCTAATTTCATTCACTCATCACTATAACATATTAGGTTCTTTGCCAGACATAGTGGAAAAGGCTAGGAGGCTGAAGCAGGAGGATCACTTGAACCCAGGAGGTGGAGGTTGCAGTGAGCTGAGATCTCACCACTGCACTCCAGCCTGAGCGGCAGAGTGATACTCTGTCTCAAAAAAAAAAAAAAAAAAGATACTAGGTTCTCTCTTACTTTCTCTTTCCGTTTTATTAAATAATCATCATTTTCCCTCAACATTATTCTTGTCATTAAACATTTTACATAATTAAGATAAACAATTTATTTGCAAAGAAACCTCTCTTATCTAGAGCCACATCCCTAATGCACACCATGGAATTTTAGATTTAACAGAATATTAAAGATCACATAGTTCAATCTCTTCCCCTCTTAGGAAAAAGGAACATTTTTCCAGAATGGCAGCACCAAAATCAAGAAAATCAATAATTGTACATTCCTGGCTGCAGACTAATAGAAAATATGGACTCGACTCTTTTATTCAAATAAACAGTTAATTCCTAGGGGAAGAAATTCATTTTATTCTGAATGTGGTTTTTATTAAAGGCAATGGTCAGAGCAAATAGATATATTTGTACATATGTACCTCTTAGTGCTAATTTTCTTAGACCTGTAAAATCTCAGATACACCAATTATTTTTGGCTGAATTTGTATGTAACTTTGCTAAAGGGATGTTAAAATAATCATTTGCTATAAAAAGTCACTTTTGAATGCTTAACTAATTTGAGTTGTTAGCAACTTGTTTGTAAAGGACAAATATGTCACATTCTCAAGGAGTATTGAAAATCTCTATTTCAATAGAGCCATAATCAAATTATGGGCAATAGGTATTCTAAGCAACTGCATTTGTGTTACTGTGCATAGAATAAGTACTATGAAGTGTTAGCTGTTGTTATTGTGCCTTTTATTTTTCTGCCATAGAACCTGGCGAAGCGCCAAAAAACTCTCCTAGCATACTAGCTATGCTGGAAACACTACAAAATGCTCCCTACCTAGAAATCCACAAAGACATGATTCGGTGGATATTAAAGGTAAAATTTCCTACATTGACTGCTTTTTGTAAGAAATATTAAATATTTCTTATGTGTACATTGCGGTAATGTTTCGTACAGGATACTGATACTTTTATTTTTTTTGTAGACTTTTAATGCTATTAAAAAGATGAGGGAGAGTTCACCTACCAGTCCCATGACAGAGACAGAAGGAACCATAATGGAAGAGGTATAAAAAGTAAAGTGTGATAATACTAAAAAATTATAGCAAGTTCAGTGTGAACAAGTTAAATGTATCTGCAGGAACTTGGCAGTTGATGTTACTCTGACAACATTTAAATTCCAAGAAATGTGCCACTATTTATCTCTATTTGTTGTAGCTATTTTTTGTCTGCTTTTTTTCTTTAAAACTTGTTAGGTCAATTTGTCTTTTCTCTTGTTTAAATAAGTGAGATTACAGAATAGTTTTTAAATTGGTATGTACAATAAAAATATTTCTGCTTTGGGGAAAAAAAAGTGCATTTTAGCATCTCATGGACTAATTGAATGGAGCATAATTTCAGAGTTCAAGAGACAAAGACAAAGCTGAGAGGAAGAGAAAAGCCGAGATCGCCAGATTGCGCAGAGAAAAGATCATGGCTCAGATGTCTGAAATGCAGCGGCATTTCATTGATGAAAACAAAGAACTCTTTCAGCAGACATTAGAACTGGATGCCTCAACCTCTGCTGTTCTTGATAACAGGTAAAAAAAAAAAAAAAAAAAAATTTAATCTCTTGACCAGTTGTTCTCAACTAGGGGCAGTGTTGCTTTTTTTCCTTGTAATACTTTTTCCTTGTAATACTTTTAATCCTAAAGTAATTTAGTAAAATTCATAGGTAAATTTTGTGACCTCCATTTAGAAGATTTAGTCTTAGAAATCTCTGGGTATAGATATGGTAATTCCTGTGTACACCTAGTTGGTATTTTCTGCAGAAGACCTTGGACATTCGTGAAAGAATGAGTACACTATACTCAGCTACCTAGAGTGTTTGGCATCTGTGTTGCATATTAGATTACTGTGAGGATTAAAAGAGATGGTTTTGATACATACCAAAGACTTGACAATCCAAGTTATCAAAACCATGTGTTAAATATGTACATACCTGTGGTCTGCTATTTTATGATTCTATAGAAAGCTTTTAGACTCCTTAATTATATTAATAACCTTTGTATTGCAGCCCTGTGGTTTCAGATATGACACTTACAGCACTGGGTCCCACACAAACTCAGGTTCCTGAACAAAGACAATTTGTTACATGTATATTGTGTCAAGAGGAACAAGAAGTTAAAGTGGAAAGCAGGGCGATGGTCTTGGCAGCATTTGTTCAGAGATCAACTGTATTATCAAAAAACAGAAGTAAATTCATTCAAGATCCAGGTAAGTCATAGCTAGATCCTCATCTTCCCTATTAATAACAACAGCCAGATAATGTGGTTGATGATACATTGAGATTTTTAAAATCTGAGAATAACTCCATAGAATTGGGCCATGTCTTTAGCAAGTAACTTTGGCAGGAATTCCCCACTTGGCAGATGTGGAACCACTCCAGAAAGTTATACCTGAATCACATAGCTGATAAATAGCAGGGATTCAAAGAAAAGCTTTTCTTTGTGATGTAACATTGCATACTTTGGCCTTTAACAGTCTCCCATCCTTCTACACACTTATAAAGTCCCGGTAATTTGTTGACACATTGAAATAATAATTATTTTGTCTTATTGATAGAGCCAGAGTAGAATCTCCTGAGAAAAGTGATGGAGAGTTAGCTATGTAAGAGGCAACCCTTGAGCCAAATTCTGACTTAGAATAGTAATACCACCACAGATTGTGTATCTGTGTATCAAAGCAGGTTCTTGAGATACAGTTAACCGTGTCGGATAGTTGAGGGCTCTCTTTCAGCAACTGAGGGAGTAAAGCAGGGAGATCCAGACTGCACATGATTGTGTCCACCAAAGACACATTTATTTCTCTGCTTGTAGGTTGTGCTCTGTATGCATATGTTTCAGCAATACCTAGTAAACTTCTTGAAAGTAGGAACTGTGTCTTGGGAATTCCCAGAGCACTTCTTTAGCCAGTGCCTTTCACATTGCAGAGTGAAAGGAGGCTTGAGAGCACACTTGTAGAATTGCCTTCCCTGTATTAGGAAAGTCTTCACAACCTACTTATGAAAGATTAGTCTGCTTCATCTTTAAAATGGTCATTTGGGCTGGATGTGGTGGCTCACACCTGTAATCCCAGCACTTTGGGAGGTCGAGGCAAGTGGATCACCTAAGGTTAGAAGTTCGAGACCAGCCTGGCCAACATGGCGAAACCCTGTCTCTACTAAAAGTACAAAAAAAGATTAGCCGAGTGTGGTGGCGTGCGCCTGTAATAAAGGTGCACTTGAGAGTGCAGGCGCACTTGAGAGGCTGAGGCACGAGAATTGCTTGAACCAGGAGACAGGTTGCAGTGAGCCGGGATCACACCACTGCCCTCCAGCCTGGGCAACAGAGCAAGACCCTGTCTTTTTTTTTTTTTTTTTTTTTTTTAAAAAAAAAGGTTATTTGAACTACATGCTTTATAAATTTCATTCCAGGCCAAAAACAAAGTTGCTAATTTTATTTAATTTGTTACTTCCTGAAGAAAAAACATTAGCTGGCTATAAGTGGATTTTCTAAATGCTTTCACAATATATATCATAAAAGATTTTCTTAATGCTTTGACATTTGCACCATTCTAGTGTTAAAGTAAATTTAAACTATTAAAGCAAATAGAAGTAATTCTTCCTAGAGTGTTAGGAAATTTCTAAGATTATACTAATTTATATAAAGAATTCAAAGCATTCCGAAAGAAGCCAGACATCCATTCTGTTCTTCTTGATTTTTCATCCCCTTTGAATATAAAAATTAGCACCAGGACAGAAGACTCAATTATTTTTTTTTTTCCTCCATCTGATCTGGCATGTGCTTATATTTTTTGTTGTCACTTTGGCTCTGATAACGATTATTCTCTGTGTGAGTGTCGTTAGGCAGTCTGTCCTCTAGGGAGCGCTTCATTACTGCCAAAACATTTTTTATTAGAGATCATTGTAACCCAGCTGCCCTGAACGTACATAAGGCAGCCCCATGAAGAGAGTATCTCTTTTACCTTAAGCTCAGGATATGATGGAAGGAATTGGAATATCTCAGTGCCCTGAAAGCGTGAAATGTTCTAAAGATTGGATATACTTAAATTCACAATTCAAATTTCAGTTTACAATTTGAGACTGTTTAATTAATTTCCTGTGGATTGTGAAAATTAGAATCCTGCTTTCTAAATAATCCAAGGGCTTGCATAAATTATTGGTATCTCAGATAAAAAGAAATAAATTAGCATTTCATTTCAAATTTACAAGTCTATCAAAGATTTTACAATTTAAAGTTACACATTTGTTATAGGAAAAGTAAATTCTTTGCTTTTTGTTTTTGTTTTGTTTTGTAATGCAGAAAAATATGATCCATTATTCATGCACCCTGACTTGTCTTGTGGAACACACACTAGTAGCTGTGGGCACATTATGCATGCCCATTGTTGGCAAAGGTAATTTATATTCTTAATATTTGTCAAGCGAAGTTTATCTAAGGGCTCAACATTTTTAAAATAGAGGAAATTTTATTCTAGAAACGGGGAAAGAACTAAAAATGTTGAAGAAAAAAATTCCATATCATTGCTTAACAAATAACAAAAGTTACTTGCCTTGTCATAGATGTAAAGTATGTCAGATATATTTTTTAATTTAGCTTTATATCCAAGTCTTTTGTTTATCTTCCAAAGAAGGAAGTGGATCTATCTGTGTCAGTCTGTGGATGAAGAAAAGGGTTTTTACAGTAGGATAAACACTAGAAGGGTAATGTTGTCTTTCTTTGGGTCCAGAGTGGACAACTCTTGATTCCAAAGATGTTAGTACTTGCTTTGTTACTTCCCAAAATTATAATGGCTCCCTGTGATAAGATGACATAGTCCTAAATTTATTCTACCTTAGGGTTTTCTATGCTTCTGCAAAACCAACAAATCAATACTACTATTACTCTAGAACTGTGCTTACCCAGTTATGAACTACCTCTAACATGTAGCCACCACGCTTGCCTGTAGTCCCAGCTACATGGGAGGTTGAGACGGGAATCGCTTGAACATGGGAGGCAGAGGTTGCAATGAACCAGTATCGTGCCACTGCATTCCAGCCTGGGTGACAGAGCAAGACGCCATCTCAAAAATAAAACAAACAAAAAAACCTCCAGCCTTGGGGAAGTGGCTAGAGAACAATGGCACCAAGAAATATTTGTTGCTGCTTTGTGAATGCTTTTTTACATGGCATTCTTTTTTTTTTTTTTTTTCCTGTTTTAGAACTTTTAATCCATTTTGATTTTTAAAATCACTCAAAAATCATGTTTAAAATAATTTAGTTTAAAATCACTCAAAAATCGTGTTAAAAATAATGGTGTTAAAACATTTTCATTTTTGAACTATTTGTGGAAACAACTTATTTAAAATGTTGAAGCTTGTGGCTGTCATTTATATAAATTACCATTGTTTTGATACCTCATGTTCTCTAATTGTAAAGGTATTTTGATTCCGTTCAAGCTAAAGAACAGCGAAGGCAACAGAGATTACGCTTACATACAAGCTATGATGTAGAAAACGGAGAATTCCTTTGCCCCCTTTGTGAATGCTTGAGTAATACTGTTATTCCTCTGCTGCTTCCTCCGAGAAATATTTTTAACAAGTAAGTTTTGGCTTATGACAACTTATAACAGAGCAATAGCTTGCTTTGAAGATATTGAAATAATAAATCAGGGAGGAAAACCTAGTCTAGGCAATTGCATAGAGTTTTCCAGATACTTTTCAAATTTTAGTTATTTCTTCTAGAAGACCTGCAGAATATGATTCTAGTTTTTAGAGAGGAACAGGCCAAAAATTAACAGTTTCTAAGCTATAAAATTCCTGTGTATTCATGAAAACCAAGTATCTGGTTTATTTCTAGAGACCCTACTTTGAATATCTCCCATACACTTTTCAAGAGATGCTCAGTAAGGGGAGATGGAACAGCTCAAACTGACTTTATAGGACAGTCTAAAATTTGAATAAAACTCTTTGCAATTTGCTGGCCATTCCTACTTACAAGAACCAGGCAAAAAGTGAAAATCTTCTGGTATATTTTAAATGGAAAATCTCAGCTGGGCGTTGTGGCTCACATCTATCATCCTAGCACTTTGGGAGGCCAAGGTGGGAGGATCATTTGAGCCCAGGAGTTCAAGACCAGCCTGGGCAACATAGTCTCTACAAAAAGTAAAAAGTTAGCTGGATGTAGTGGCATATGCCTATAGTCCCAGCTACTTGGGAGACTCAGGTGGGAGGCTCAGTTGGGTCAATGCTGCAGTGAGCTTTGATTATGCCATTGCACTTCAGCCTCAGTAACAGAGCAAGACCCTATGTCAAAAATAAAGTAAGTGCTTGCTTCAGCAGCACGTGTACTAAAATTGGAATGACACAGAGAAGATCAGCATGGCTCTTTCACAAGGATGACACGCAAATTCGCGAAGTGTTCCATATTTTTAGCTCTTTTAGAATTTGCCTAGCAAACTAAAAAAAGAAAATAGAAAATTTCTTTAACTTCATAATTTTTTGGATGCTTTTAGTTAGGAATTAGTAGTATGGGACACAGTCATTTCAAATATGGATTTGATAATATCTGCTATGCAAATCTGAATTTCATTTCTCAATGTGGAATTATGCTATCTACCTTGCATGCACAAATATTAAGTTACGTGAATATAAATGATCCATTTCTGTGTTGTTACTTGGATTCAGTTCAAAACAAAGTCAGTTTTTTCTTGTCAGTTTTAGGAGTTAAACATTGTGGTGTCTTAGTCTATGCTACCACAAAATGTTCTTAAAATATTAGTAGATTTGAGTGTAAGCTCATGCTTTTTAATTATAAAAGAATATCATGGTACTGACTTACCTGCATTTGAACTGATAAAGAAATTGATTATTGTTAGATTGAGGTTAACTGTGTATAAGAAGAAATCACCCTTGTTGGATTTCACCTGCCACTTTATTGGTCCACTTTTTGATTTTTGCCCATGAGATTCTATTATGGTTTAGTCGTATTTGAATACAGTCATAAAAAGAACACAGGCTCTGGAATCTGACAGAGCCAAGTTTGAATGCTAGCTTTGTCCCTTATTTGGCCTTAGTCAAGTTACATAGCTCTAAACCTCAGGTTCCTCATCTGTAAAATGGGGACAATAATACAACCTATTGCAAAATATAGGAATACAACCTAAACAAATAATACAGGAATACAACCTGTGCAAAAAATAATACAACCTAAAACAAAATGTAGGGATATTTTGAGGGTTAAATCTAATACCATAGGATAGTTGCAGTAAAATGACTTACTGACTGCCTGTAATATAATAAGCACATGGTAGATATTAATAGTGATGGCGATTGTGATACTTAAGAAATTTTAGCAAATTCCAGTACTGAAGAGTGAGATTTTTAATACAGTGTTATTACCATCATAATGACAAATAATATATTCATTTCCACTGGCCAATATCCTGAATTTTTTTTTAGGCAACAAATTTTCCCTTATCCTTTTTGTTTTTAATATTTGGAGTGTGTCTAAAATATGCCTTTGATCATTTAAGGAGTCTTTTGTATCTTAAGGAACAATAATAAAACACTAAATACTTTCTATAATCTTTTCTAGCAGGTTAAATTTTTCAGACCAACCAAATCTGACTCAGTGGATTAGAACAATATCTCAGCAAATAAAAGCATTACAGTTTCTTAGGAAAGAAGAAAGTACTCCTAGTAAGTTCTGGTAACCTGTTTTCATTTTTCCCTAAAGTCCGAGGTCATCAGAAAATGTTTTTCCAGAAGAAATTGTTTAAAAGTAAAACCTCCCAGTTAAAATTTGACTCATTCTAATTGTCCTTGTCTTAATAAACAAAACTTGACTTCACTGCATTACTCCTTATTCCTTAAACACACAAGTTCATGTGAAGTTTATAATAAACACTTCTCACTTATTCCCCCATTTTATTGAAGAGCTTCTGGAGGTGGGGGAGATGTAACTGAGTGTTGCAGAGCTAGCTTTAGTTCTTGGTGGGCTAACTCACCTTACTGTTGGCATTCCCAAAGGCTTCCCAAGTTTCATATACCATGCACTGCACTTATGACCTTGTGGGAACGTAATATGAACAGGATCTATATCACTCGTTTTCATAGAAACAGAATAGGTACTCATGTTTTTGTTTTAGTGGCTGCACTATGAGGAAAAGCATAGATAACTGAAGAAAGGGCCTTGGTCAACTAGAGCAATAGTGTTTTCATGTTTCATATGGTTGTTATGCCAATTTTTATTAGAGAATTTTTTTCCTATTGTTTTTAATTTCTTTAACTATATGACCATACTTTATAGGAATATTGTCATCTGTTGAATAATAGTACAAAAATGCCTGTTTCTATAGATAATGCCTCTTCAAAGAATTCAGAAAATATGAATGAATTACAGCTCCCTGAAGGGTTCAGGCCTGATTTTCATCCTAAGTGAGTATATTATTTTATTCCTTTTCAGTCTGACCCATCTGAAATAAATGATTAAGTCAGCGGTTAGGAGGAATGTGATTTGGCAAGCAAGGGAGCAAACTGTTATAGTGATCTTTAGTGCTAACGTTTAAGCACAGGCTGAGACAGGAGGATAGTGTGAGCCAGGAGGTGGCGGCTGCAGTGAACCTTCACTGTGCCACTGCACTCCAGTCTGGGTGACAGAGTGTGACCTTGTCTCAAAAACAACAGCAAAAAAAGCATTGCATGATGGTATCTATTGCTGTACATTGAAAAAAATCTCAGAGCCACGTGGCGTGTTTAACTCTCACCTCTTTCTCCCAGTCGGCATTGCTGACCTCCCCCCACCCACCACACCCCTTTCTTTACCTGACTCTCCTTGACAGCATCTAATCAGTACCACAGCTTATTAACTGTACAACTTTGGACAAACTGCTTGACTCTCTGTACCTCAATTCCCTCATCTGTTAAGTTAGGATAATTCATAGGTGTTATTAGAATAAAGTGATATAATGTACATAAAGCTACCCGGAAGCTGTGCCTGGCAGGTACTAAGTAATTCAATAAATACAGACCTATAAGACTTGAATAGAAAAAGCATCAGGCCGGGTATGGTGGCTCACGCCTATAATCCCAGCACTTTGGGAGGCCAAGGCTCCCAAAGATCACTTGATCAGGAATTCAAGACCGGCCTAGCCAACACGGTGAAACCCTGTCTCTACTAAAAATATAAAAATTGAGGCCGGGCCCGGTGGCTCACGCTTGTAATCCCAGCACTTTGGGAGGCCGAGGCGGGTGGATCACGAGGTCAAGAGACCAAGACCATCCTGGTCAACATGGTGAAACCCCGTCTCTACTAAAACTACGAAAAATTAGCTGGGCATGGTGGCGCGTGCCTGTAATCCCAGCTACTCAGGAGGCTGAGGCAGGAGAATTGCCTGAACCCAGGAGGCGGAGGTTGCGGTGAGCCGAGATCGCGCCATTGCACTCCAGTCTGGGTAACAGGAGCGAAACTCCGTCTCAAAAAAAAAAAAAAAAAAAAAAAATACAAAAATTAGCTGGGCGTGGTGGTGCACACTTGTAATCTCAGCTACTTGGGAGGCTGAGGCAGGAGAATCAGTTGAACTTGGAAGGCGGGGATTGCAATGAGCCAAGATCGCACCAATCAGTACACTCCAGTCTGGGCGACAGACAGAGATTCCATCTCAAAAAAAAAGAAAAGAAAGAAAAAACTTCAGTTTTCTGTCTGCCCAGTCCCCCAGTCCTCTTGCTGTGTTCGTCACTTCTAGTGTTTACTTCCATATCTCTAATGGACAGTATTTTCACTGTTGACTGGTAAATTATTTCAGTTTTTGGTTAAATCTAGTTGTCAATTTTACTTTACAATAACTGTGTTTCTGCTAATACAAGTTGCATATTAGAATTATATTTCCTTTCTTATACAGTTTGTCTTTTTTATAATTAAAAATTGCCTTGTCTTTTTCATGTACTTTTTTTCTGTATATGTATTTTTTGTTTTTTTCTGAATGGTACAGTAGATCTCTCCAGTGCCTAACAATTTTTCTTTTTCTCTTTTTTTTTTTTTTTCCTCGTTTTTGAGAGAGAGTGTCACTCTGTCACCCAGGCTGGAGTGCAGTGGCATGATCTCAGCTCACTGCAACCTCCCCTCCCAGGTTCAAACAGTTCTCCTGCCTCAGCCTCCCAAGTAGCTGGGACTACAGGCATGCACTACCACGCCTGACTAATTTTTGTATTTTTAGTTGAGATAGGGTTTCTCCATTGTTGCTCAGGCTGGTCTCAGGTCATCCACCCATCTCGGCCGCCCAGGGTGCTGGGATTACAGGAGTGAGCCACCATACCTGGCTTCCTGACAGCTTTTCTAAGTGCTCAGACATGTCAGATGATCCCTCCTTCCCTACACAGCCTCTGTTATCTTGCAGTCAAGATAGGAGACAGCTATCACTTCTCTTGACCCTGCTCCTCTTATTTTCTGGATTGAGTGTCTTCCTCTTTCTTAAATACTTGCTCTTTTTGCAGATTCCTAAGAAAAGATACCTGGATGGTATATTTTCATGTTTGAAAATATGTTCATTTTATTCATATGCTCAATTGATAATATGGGTATAGAATTATAGGTTAGAAGTAACTTTTCATCTAGATTTTGAAGCTATTATTTTACTAAATTCTATATCCATTGAGAAATTAATGCCATTCTAATTCCTGTTTCTTTGTAACTATTTTTGGCTTTTGGTTTTGTTTTTTTGAGATGGAGTCTCGCTCCGTCACCCAGGCTGGAGTGCAGTGGCAAGATTTTTGGCTCACTGCAACCTCCACCTCCCCAGGTTCAAGCGATTCTCCTGCCTCAGGCTCCTCAGTAGCTGGGACTACATGTGTGGGCCACCATGCGCAGCTAATTTTTTGTATTTTTAATAAAGACTTGGCTTCACCATGTTAGCCAGGATGGTCTCAATCTCCTAACCTCGTGATCTGCCCACCTCAGCCTCCCAAAATGCTGGGATTACAGGTGTGAGCAACCTCACCCGACTCTGTTTTTGTTTTTTTGAGACAGGTTCTCACTCTGTCACCCAGGATAGAGTGCAGTGGTGCGATCTCAGTTCACTGCAACCTCTGCTTCCTGGGTTCAAGCAATTCTTCTGTCTCACCCTCCCAAGTAGCTGGGATTACAGGCATGAACCACCACACCTGGCTAATTTTTGTATTTTTATTAGAGACGGGGTTTCACACCATGTTGGCCAGGCTGGTTTCGAACTTCTGGCCTCAGATGATCCACCCACCTTGGCCTCCTAAAGTGCTGTGATTACAGGCATCAGCCACCACACCCAGGCACTTTTTTACAATTTTTTTAGATATAAGTTCTCTCTACGTTGTCCAGGCTGGCCTTGAACTTCTGGGCTGAAGTGATCCTCCCGTCTCAGCCTCCCGAGTAGTTGGGATTACAGGCGTGAGCCACCATGCCTGGTTCCTTTGTACCTCTATTACTACATTTTTTTTTTTTGAGACAGAGTCTCGCTCTTGTCACCCAGAATGAAGTGACAGGGTCGTGTAGTGGCACGATCTCAGGTCACTGCAACCTCCGCCACCCAGTTTCAAGGGATTCTCGTACCTCAGCTTCCCAAGTAGGTGGGACTACAAACATGCACCACCATGCCCCACTAATTTTTTGTATTTTTAGTAGAGACAGGGTTTCACCATGTTTGCCAGGCTGTTCTCGAACTCCCAACCTCAAATGATCCACCCACCTTGGCCTCCCAAAGTGCTAGGATTGCATGCATGAGCCACTGCACCCAGGCTAATAACTCTGTTACTTCTGAAAACTGTTAAGATATTCTCTTTATCTCTTCAGTGTTTTGAAATTTTCTGTGATATTTCTTGGTATATGAATCTTTTTTTATTTATTTTGCTAGGCTTTCAATAAACCTTTTGAATCTGAACATTCATATCCTTCATTTCTGAGAATTTTTTATGTTGTTTCTTAAATAATTTTCTCCTGGATTTTGTTTTTTGAGGTCGTTGTATTAGCTCACTGTTGCCCCTATTGAACTGATACCCTAATTTGCTTATAAGTTTTTTACTTTCTACATTGTCTGTTTCCCCTGAGTTCTGTTTCTCTGCTTCTTTATTTTGGTGTATCTCTTTGATGCTTTCCTTAAATGTTTATTGGTCCTTGGATAACTTAAGCCAATGAGCATAAGAGTACCTGGTGGACAGATTGGAGCTTGCTGACTTGCAAGCCTCACAGTAAAGATGATCAGGACACCTCCAGTCTTTTACTTGGTGACCCCCATATGTCAGTGTATAAAAACAACTTTCCCCTGAGGATTGTTCACTGGAAAAACTAATCTCTGTGGCAGAGGGTGTACACTGCTGATGTTCTCAGGATGGGAAACAGGGTCAAGGATCTCACTGTTTAGTCTGTAGACCTTTGCCCAGCACCCTGTTTTCAGCCTGTGCCTCACCCCTGCTAAATCAAAAAGCCTAACTCCTCTTGGGCAGGGGCAGTTGCGTATCTGTAATCATTCTGCGTACAGTTACCACTAGATACATGTGAAGGGGTTCAATTTCAATATAGCAAAGAACTGTTAAGAAACTGAACCATTTGATTGATATGTGCACATTGTTCTGAGCTAATTTTACACGTTTACTTCAGGAACCCTTATTCTGAGAGCATAAAAGAAATGCTAACGACATTTGGAACTGCTACATACAAGGTGGGACTAAAGGTTCATCCCAATGAAGAGGATCCTCGTGTGCCCATAATGTGTTGGGGTAGCTGTGCATACACCATCCAAAGCATAGGTAAGAGATTTACAGCTGTTCCTCTGTAAGTCAGAAGCATTCGTTGATATGAATTATGTGTAGAATCATGTTTTTAAATGAAATGTTTAATGTGGGCAACAATATGAAGAAATAATAAGACTGAGAAGCAAGAAATGTAGTGTACTGACAAAATACTAGTTTGATAGTTCATAAATTAACCACAGCAACAGAGAACTCTTGGTGGTGGTTATAGCTTCTTGTCAGTTGCAGAAATGTACTGTTCATTTTTACTCTGTAACCAAGCTTAATTCTTGTGAAATGACTTTGAAGATTCTGAAACCTGACAATATTGTACTGTCTGTAGAATTGCTTTTTTTAACCTTTTAAAAAAATTATATTAAAATGTACATAACATAAAATTTACCATTTTAACCATCTTTAATTCATAGAAAGAATTCTGAGTGATGAAGATAAACCATTGTTTGGTCCTTTACCTTGCAGACTGGTAAGTTCTCAGTTTATTCAATTCATGAAAGGGTGGAATGGAAGTTAGGTGGTTCTGCTTCTTTTAATCTCATGGACCTGCAGTAGTTACTTACTGCATTCACTTCTGTCATAGTAAAAACCCATTTTCTGTAAGGATATTAAAGAAGTAACGTTTGTGGTTTAGTTTTTCTTTCAAGTAAACTTCACGAGGCCAGGTGCAGTGGCTCATACTTGTAATCCCAGTACTTGGGAGGCCAAGGCAGGTCACAAGATTAAGAGATCAGACCATCCTGACCAACATGGTAAAACCCTCTCTCTACTAAAAATATACAAAAATTAGCTGGGCATAGTGGTGCTCCTATAGTCTTAGCTACTTGGGAGACTGAGGCAGGAGAATCGCATGAACCCGGGAGGCGGAGGTTGCAGTGAGCCGAGACCGCACCACTGTGCTCCAGCCTGGCAACAGAGCAAGACTGTGTCTCAAAAAAAATTTTTTTAATTAATAAATAAACTTCAGGAAATAACTATACCTCTCTTTTCATTCAGAGCTCTTGGTGAAGTACTTGAAAATATGGAAAACTAAAACTAGAGTGCATAGTCTTGAGTTTTTAACACTATAAATGGAAATATAAAACAACACACATTTAACCATCTTTTAAAAGCAACATGTATAAATAAGTGCAAATTAATGTCAAACTGAGCACATTTAATGCAGAGGAAAACAAAGGAGTATACAGTCAAAGCTTGCTGCTTTTCACTTTGTAGCTAGTATCTGCTAATGTCATAAACTTCCTGCTGTTTAAGCTTTCAATCATAAAAGTGCTTTTGAGGCCATAGTGGCTCACACCTGTAAATCCCAGCACTTTGGGAGGTCAAGGAAGAAAGACGGCTTGAGCCCAGGAGTTCAAGACCATCTTGGGCAACATAATGAGACTCCACCTCTACAAAAAAAATTTTTTAATTAGCCAGCTATGGTGACATGCAGCTGTAGTCCCAGGCACTCAGGAGGCTGAGGTGGGACACTCACTTGAGCCCAGAAAGTCGAGGCTACAGTGAGCTATGGTCACATCACAGTACTCCAGCCTGGGTGACAGAGTGAGACCCTGTCTCAAAAAAAACAAAAGTGCCTTTGAGAGCAAAATCATCTCAGTGTATTCATGTAGAATCACCTGGAAGATTTTGGGGGATTGATTGTTTTGTTTTTCCTCAAACAGAAGTTGTGAAAGAGAGAGAGAGAGAGAGTGAGAGAGCGTGTGTGTGTGTGTGTGTTTAATGTCAGGCCCTGACACAGATCAGTTAAATCAGTTTTTGAAGATGGACACTAATATTTTTTAAAAGCTTCTTAGGAGTTAGGATTGAGAACCAGTGATATAAGGACCTAACCAAGAAACAAAAACCGGTGTAGAAAATAGAGTTACATGGGACAACTTATCAACTAGTTTGCTGGCTTTTGTCATTGCACACACCTAGTCTCTGGACCCTTATTTATTTATTTATTTTTAAAGCATCTCAAGGCCTTCTTTATTGTTTTAGGACTATAGCTTCAGTATCAGACGTTCTCAGCTGGAAGTTCTGCATTAAAAATCTCTTTGGAGTTTGTAAAAAATATAGGTATCTGGGCCCCTGTGGACTTGCTGAACTAGAGTATCTAGGGATACGGCCTGATCGCATTTTTCTTTTTTTTTGAAGGAGTCTCTCTCTGTTGCCCAGGCTGGAGTGCAGTGGCGCAATCTCAGCTCACTGCTCACTGCAACCTCTGCCTCCTGGTTCAAAAGATTCTTCTGCCTCAGCCTCCCAAGTAGCTGGATTACAGGCACACACCACCATGCCCAGCTAATTTTTGTATTTTTAGTAGAGACGGGATGTCACCATGTTGGCCAGGCTGGTCTCGAACTCCTGACCTCAGGTGATCCACCCGCCTCAGCCTCCCAAAGTGCTGGGATTACAGGTGTGAGCCACTACACCCAGCCCTGAATTGCATCTTTATAGTGAATCAGCAGAATGGCAATTCATATCAGTCTTGACTATAATATGATCTATGATCAATGTTGACAATGATGTTTTTTGCCACACTAAGAGCTAATATGTCGATTATTGAAAATACAGGCATATAGTATAGAATTTTATCTAGTTTACAAGGCAGTTTTATACATTTCTTGATGTTATATACTTCACACTACTTCGGGATACTCTTGCTGCTACTGCGTCTACTTTTTTCTATTAATATGGTTTTGTGTTAATCATTTTACGTTGATTAACTTTCACATGTTAAACTAATCTTGCATTCTTGAAATAATTTCAACCCGTTTATGTATATTATCCATTTTTATATATCACTATATTTGATTTGTGATATGTTATTTTTTATTTCTCATTTTTTTTTAGAGACAGGGTCTCACTATGTTGCCCAGGCTGGTCTCAAACTTCTAGGCTCAAGGGATCCTCCCACTTAAATCTTCCAAAGTGTTGGAATTACAGGCATGAGCTACTCCACACAGCCGTGTGATGTTTTGTCTAAGATTTTACACCTATGCATATAAGAGAGATTGGCCTGGTTTTTTTTTCTTGTAAGATTTTGGCATCAGAGTTATGCTGGCCTTATAAAATGCAGTCTAGGCAGGGCGCAGTGGCTCATGCCTGTAACCCCGGCACTTTGGGAGGCCAAGGTGGGCAGATCAGTTGGGAGGCTGAGGCAGGAGAATCACTTGAACCGAGGAGGTGGAGGTTGCTGTGAACTGAGATCGCACCATTGTACTCCAGCCTGCACAACAAGAGCGAAACTCTGTCTCAGAAAAAAAAAAATAATAATAATAATAAAATGCAGTCTATTATTTAAATTTTTTAATTTAATTTTTTAAAGTGTATAACTATTAGGGTGAACAACTTCTGTTTTCCCGACTCCACTGTTAAAACTTATGAATAACTCCATGCACTCCTGTATCAGAGGATAAGGGATCCTATTACCCTTTCTTCTATGTGGTTTGGAAGAATGCGCATCTGTGGAATCCATCTCTTCCTCATCAGTGTCCTCTCTTCTTTTTCTCCATGCACTTCCTCTGTGGACGAGTGTGCTTAGTTATCCTCTTATTCTTGCTCTCAGTGTTGCCTTCCTTCAGTCTAGCACCCTAGCTCTTTGCTTCCTTTCTTTGGCCAAGTTATTTTAAAGCATGTTTTATTTTATTTTACAGATAATCCATGTGGTGAAAAATGTTTAAATACAGATTTTAAAAAAGAAAAAGCAATTTTTAATTTCATTTCATATTTCATATTCTTTGAGAGAGTGTGTGTGTGTTTGTGTGTATGTGTGTGATTTTATACACACCAACAGTTTTTTTTTTTTCTTTTTGGAGACAGAGTCTCGCTCTGTCACCCAGGCTGGACAGCAGTGGCGCAATCTCAGCTCACTGCAACCTCTGCCTCCTGGGTTCAAGCGATTCTCCTGCCTCAGTCTCTCGAGTAGCTGGGATTACAGGTTCACGCCACCACACCTGGCTATTTTGTGTTTTTAGTAGAGACAGAGTTTCACCAACTTGGCCAGGCTGGTCTTGAACTCCTGACCTCAGGTGATCTACCCGCCTCAGCCTCCCAAAGTGCTGGGATTACAGGTGTGAGCCACTGCACCCAGCCTGGATACATTATTTAGCCTGGGCATTCACATTCAGTTGGTCAGCAAAGTCTGTCAAATCCTTTCCGCTCCTTCTACTCATTTGGTTCAGCCCCATTATCATTTCTTGCCTAGATTATTGTAACAGTTTTTACCGAGAATCTCACCCTTCTCTAACACATTATCAGAGGACTTCCTCCAAAAACAACCCTAATCATATTCTTCATACTTCTACAAACTTCTTAACCTATTTCTCCATTATCACCTCCTCCCAGTTCCTGCCCCTGTGGTCCAGACTTGTAGAATCACTTCGAATTCCTCAGTGCTAGTTCCCAAGCCTTGCATATTCAATTTCCTTTGTCTAGAATGCCCTAAGCAGACTGCTACTGAAAGATGCTGTCCAAGCTTTCCTTTCCCGGAGAAAGCCCTCCGAGCATGTACTGTGAGTTAGAGTTCTCTCACGTGTGATGCCTGCCCCCTTCCCCACTTTTTTCCTTTCCCACCCCCAGGGCTTTAAGCTCTTTGAGAGCAGGAGAAGGGAGAATGAGTTTTATTTGAAGATCTTCAGAACCAAGACCTAGTGTATATAGTAGGACCTCAATATTTATTGAACCACACAACATTACAGAAAATTTGGAAAATGAAAAAATAAGCAGGAAGAAAAAGTCATCAACTTATCACATATCCATCTTTTTCTATTAGCATATTCATGCTTGATTACAATTGGTACTCACATGTAGCTTTGTTTCTACCTTATTCTTTAAATCAAGAGTTTTCTTATTATTGCTTTTTAGTCCTCATAACAGTTTTTAATAGCTGCAGGCACCCTCATTTGTGCCCCCATTTTAGTGAATATGTCCAAATATCTTTTTAGGATACTCCAAATATTGGGGAAACTACATTTAGAGAATCTCTTTAGGATACTCTACATTTTAAAGAAGAGTATCCACATTTTAGAATATCTCTGTAGGATAAACATAAGAAATATATGTTTTAGAGTATCTCTTTGGGATAAAAATAAAGAAATACTGCATCCGCATCTTGGCTTGTTTATTTGTTTTTTGAGATAGAGTCTTGCTCTGTTGCCCAGGCTGGAGTACAGTGGCGCGATCTTAGCTTACTGCAACCTCCACCTCCGAGGTTCAAGCAATTCTCCTGCCTCAGCCTCTTGAGTAGCTGGAACTGCAGGCGTGCACCACCATGCCCGGCTAATTTTCTATGTTTAGTAGAGACAGGATTTCTCCATGTTGGCCAGCCTGGTCTCGAACTCCCGACCTCAGGTGACCTGCCCATCTCGGCCTCCCAAAGTGCTGGGATTACAGACGTGAGCCACCACTCCCAGCCTGCATCTTCATCTTGAGAGTGTCCCTTGCTTTCTGTCTGTTGCATATATTCTGTATTCTTTTCTTTTCTAGAGAAAGCCAGCAACATGGTGGCAAAGAGATAGGTTTCATGTATTCAGCATACACTTAGACATTTCCCATTTCATTTATCCTGTGTTAGAGACATGTCATTGAGATGTCATAGATTTGGTTCCATACCATCTAGAGCAGTTTCATTGTGCATCCAGCTGTGCTCTGAACTGGCATTCCTGAAAGACAACTGCTTTATATGTTGGTTTTTTTGTTAATTGTGTTGGTTTCTTTAATTCAGGATGACTGTCTTAGGTCACTGACGAGATTTGCAGCAGCACACTGGACAGTGGCATTGCTTTCAGTGGTGCAAGGACATTTTTGTAAACTTTTTGCATGTGAGTATTAATACATTTAATACTCATGTAATGCATGTTATGGTCATTTCTCATCCTCTGAAATTTTGTTTTTAATGGTTCAGCTTCTCTCAATAATGAATTAAATATTTAGTAGTACTGGTTTTCTTATATGTAAGCTCTAGCTTATAAATTCTTACATATCTTGCAAGAAGATAAATTTAAAGCAGATTATACGCATTTTAACATATGTTGTCATATGAAATATGCTCATGTATTTTTCTTTAAATCTCTAGCATTGGTGCCTAATGACGGCCATGAAGACCTTCCATGCATATTAGATATTGACATGTTTCATTTATTGGTGGGTATTTTGCAGTTTGTTTGAACTTCTCTGTCATATTATGTAACTTTACCTTAGGTTTGGTGAGCAGTGTAGTGGCAGACAGGAAGGAGTTATCCTATGATTTCCTTACCCCTTCTGAGTATAATTCTTTTATGAGAAACCTAAAAAAGAAAACATTTAGGAGCCTCGTTGAGAGACTTGACCTGGTTATCAAGACATCCTCTGTCTCTTATTTTGCTTTGTGACTGAGGTCAGTGTTTTAACCTCTCTGTGCTTTTTAACCTGTAAAGAGATAAAAACACCAGCAACAGGCCAGGTGCAGTGGCTCATGCCTGTAATCCAAACACTTTGCAAGACCAAGGTGGATGGATTACTTGGGGTCAGGAGTTCGAGACCAGCCTGGCCAACGTGGTAAAACCCCATCTCTACTAAAAATACAAAAAATTAGCTGGGCGTGGTGGTGCACACCTGTAATCCCAGCTACTCAGCAGGCTGAGTCAGGAGAATTGCTTGAATCCGGGAGGCGGAGGTTGCAGTGAGCAGAGATTGTGCAACTGCACTCCAGCCTGGACAACAGAGCGAGACTTTGTCTCAAAAAAAAAAAAAAAAAAAAAAAAA